CGTTATTGAAACTGACAGCTGCTATACAGCTCTTTGAGAAATGAGGTTAAGTTGGTCGCTATAAGCTACTCCCTACGTCCAATGTGTCAGAGCCAACTTCGACCACGTTTTTATTTGAACGCTCGTTAGTTTGTCCACTCCATACATATACAATCTACAATCTAATATGTATTTTGATTAGTGGCATAACATTATCTATTTTGAAAAGAGGTCTGGTTATGACAAAATCACGTTACTGGAGCTGCATATACAATTTTAGATTAATGAATATTTGGTTCAATTATCACCTTGGCTTATTATTTAAAGTATTTAGGTCTTATTATTTAAATACCTCAGTTAAAGATAACTCATTACAGTGCCTGATATAAATGTCCGTCTTACTTATGAAGAACATTCTAATAGAAAGTTCTTTTTGGATACCTGTAAAGTAAAATAAGCTTCACTTACTTTAAAAGATGCGTGAGGCAGTATTTTTCCAATGGATGACTTTCAAAAATCCTCATGATTTCTTCTTTAGACCTGAACCTTTGCCGACACAGAAGGCAATCTTTGTCTCCTTTACCAGTTGCTTTTAAAATATCATTTAGACCTTTGTAACGATCCCTCATTATACGAATAACTGCTGTCAAAACGCTATTCTTATATATCAGTACCGATATAAGTGCAAACTTGAAAACCGTCGAAGGCCTAGCATCGCAATTTTGTGAACAATACAAGTTTACAAAGCAGCTTATTAATGCAAATATGTATGAAATTATAACCACTAGGTGGTTTGAGGTGATGGTGGACTGGGTGATAAAACTTACATTCATCTTTGCTAATGTGCTATCTATTTCTTCTAAACCATTATACGCTTCAACGTGGTGTTTCTGAACAAAATGACTTGTTAACAACAAACACATGAAGCAAAAATACGTAAACAGTATTTCGTTAAAAGAAACGTAGCTGTCTTTGTCCACTTTATTCGGAAAAACTATCCATAATAGAAATGTTGCAATTAAAAAGAATACAAAGACTTTCAGTTTAGCTACACGGCCATCTACTACACAAAAAGGCTCGTTTCCTTCGTACCATCTGTATTGGTCAGTAAAAACGTAATGTCCAATATTTAAATGTATTTTTATATCTTTCACAGCCATTGTTCTAGACACAATACGCAAAATGAATGTTTTTCATTAGGTAAATGTTATTGCTACTGCTAGTATTATCAGGATAAGTATTATTGATATTGTCGTAAAAGCACAAATTTGCTTCATAACTCAATTGTTTAGCAATGATATAAGGTTGCTTTAAATAAAATTTAGGTCACTACTTTCAATATATTCATAGTTAAAAATTATTAAGTCTTCCTCGTTACAAATTTTAGGAAATGTTACACATACTATTGTTCCAAACAAAGTTACTGGTCATGTAAATTTTAAGTTTTGAGAATAAGCCAGTCAAATTGTCGAAAATACCTCGTTTCTTTTTGCCAAAATTTAGTTCAGTAAACAGGGACACGTAAAAATTAGGAAAAAATTGGTAGAATTGGATGAACTACTTTACCCCAGCTGAATGTTAGGACTTCGTTTCCAAATTGGCGTCCAAAGTTCGAAAAAACATTTTTTTTCATTAGAAAAACTAAACATTTTAGAAAAATATGTTTTAGACAAAGTTGTAAAACTTTTTATAACAAAAATTTTGAGCCCACCCCGATGTCAATTGATAAACAAATGTATGTTAAAAAAGGGTTAAAAATCAAATTTTTTTAAAAACTTCTCTATCTAAAACGAAAAAATATTTTTTACGAAATTTTCAGAATATCTAGTCCTTGGCCAAGTAGAATGAGTGCACAAAAATATTAAATTGCCAATTTTTTAAAGTTTTTGCGAAAAAGGCAGTGGTATCTAGGAAAGTTTTTCACTGGGTACATGTATCCCACAGTCTTTCAAGCTGAGGTTTTCGCTATTTTGTTGGTAGCAAGCAAGACGGAGGTAAGGAACTGTGTAGAGATTTTTATCCGCTCTGACAGTCAGGCCGCGCTCTAGGACAATGTCTGCCCTTGTTCAGGAATGTGGAGACACTCTAGAATCATTGGCCAGACGAAGAGAGGTTGAGTTGGTTTGGGTTCCAGCCCATATATATTGTGATGATTCAATTGTGACAAATATCTTTGTTCTGTTTTGTGTATTGGTGTGTATTAGTATATAGAGCGCCAGTAAAATGTTGTAACTTTTTCTATTAATTCATGAAATATAATTGATCACTTACCAGGCTAGCTTTTCTCACAGGATATCACTCAATATAATTTAAATGGTAATTCAAAGATGAAAATGGTTTTAGTATTCGGAATTTAAAATTAACTTATAATTTTATTAATGTTTTCCTGTTTTTTTTTTATGATTTGATTGAAAACTAAATTTATTCTGTTAATTTTGCACAAATAATTTCTATGAATTTTATCAGAACATGAGTTCCCTTCTCAGAAGTCGGTTCTTAGATTAAACTGAATAAAATTAAATAATATAGTGTGATCTGGGTTCAAACTTTCTATTGATATTTATGATGACAAATAAATTATTAAATTTTTCTCTTCCCTAATTTAACCTGCTCTATCTTAATTCTATGCTACAAACATGTACTTATTCTATTCTTATAATTATTATTGTCACTCACTTCAGACCGATCAACAATCCTTTTTTTTTTCACTGTCCTTGATTTCTTACGTCGGTACCTTCTCTCTGTAGCGTTGCTTATATCCTCTCCCTTCTAGGCGTCTACGTACTCTCTCCTGGTGATTGTCGATATATGCTAGATGGGACTTCTAGCTCTCCCCTGGTCTCTCGTACCCCTCGAATCTTTTATTGTTGGCTAGGATAATTCATACAATTTTAATAATCTAACCTTTTTAATATTTACGTCTTTCGTTATCTGTATCTCCTGTTACTTTCTTCCAATACAAATTCTTATCTTCAGAAACTTTTCCTTCAGCTTCTCAATAACTTCTCCTCTCGTCTTTGATACTATAATTAGCTGGTAATAATTTAATCTTCTTATATTCTTTTTGACAATCTCCTCTCTCTTCTCCTGTCTTATTTATTATTCTTCTTGTTGTTATTTTTTTTTCCGTCTCCTTGATTACCGTCGCACTACACACTTAATTTAAAATACAAAATCTCCTTTTTTTATTTAACCAATCAGATCACTTTTAAATTTTACATTTTTCCAATATTATTTAATTCTCAATTCCCTATCTAATGCCCTTATTTTATAACCACTTTCATAGATTTAGACTAATATTCCTCTAAAATTCATAATCTACTTATAAATTGTCATCAAATTAACTTCCACTGTCATCTAGACATTAATATCTTTTTATCCCAATACTGACATTTAAACCTTTGAATTATTGATTCTTCTCAATATATTCCTGGTAATTAGAGAGCTGATCAACTGGCTCGTCTTGGATCTTGGGAACCTGACCTGGGACCTGAATCAATCCTCGGAATTACACGAGGTAGTATTAACGGGGCCCTTAATAAATGGGCCTATCAAACTTTAGGTCAAAACTAGAGGAGGAACAGAGAATGTAGGCAGGACCTAGCAAACCTAAGACGAGATGGCTGCTGAGCCTCTGTTGAAGAGCACTAAACCAAATGGTGGGGGTTCTGACAGGCCATTGAAGACTTAGGAGGCATTTAAGTTTAATAGGAATTGAGGAGGACCCTTTATGTCCGAAATGTGGAGCAGGGGAGGACAACCCTGTCCACCTTCTGGGACACTGTGCAGCCTTTGGAAGGTTAAGACTTAAACTCTTTGGTGCTGAAGAGCTGCAGGGGGTTGAGGAGAAGGACCTTCCATGGACCAAAATCCTGGCGTTCATTCCGTCCGGCAGCGAGGAGGCTCAGAGCCAAAGAGTGGACAGGTGATGGGACGGTAGGGTAGGCAAAAAGGACCCACCTGTGGCCTAGTTGCCAAGCTGAGACCGCCCCTTTCACTACTACTACTACTACTACTAGTAATCGGAATGCCATTATTGCTAATGAAAGCTGATATTTTTCACAAATTTAAAAAGAATATATCCTACGACCAACAGGAGCCGAGATTTTTTTCAAAAAAAATTGTTACGACCTCATGTATTAATATTACGGTCTGAAATTTACATATATGTTGTAGTTGAATACTTTCACTTTAATATTAAAAAATAGTCCGCAATGATTGACCTTCTTTTTCTACAGCAAACTTAATTTTGTGGGGCCCCGTAAAATGCTTGCTCCGATCGACACGTTGATGCGGGTGGTGGTGGGGTACTATTTTGCGAACTTTTGACACCATTTTGAAAATGAAGCCCTAACATTCAGCTGGGGTAAAGTAGGTAATTCATTATATTGTACGGAATTTTTATGTGTCTTTGTTTACTGAATTAAATTATGTAAAAATCTAATTTGATTGGACTAGAGCAGCGATAATCAAATGTGTGAACAATGGGGTTCCACACAACCTCTGTGGGGGTTCCGCGACTCAGTCAAAAATTCAAAATTTTGAAATTACAATATTGATACTACAAAATTCAAAAAAAATTATACACTTACTTATAACTAGTATTTATAAATATATTATATAATCAGTAAAAAATGTGTTGGAAAATTTTTTTAGGTGCGGGGGTTCCTCAAAAAAATCGAAATGTTGGCCGGGTTCCGCAAGTCATAAAAGTTTGAAGACCGCTGGACTAGAGTATACAAATCGTGAAATTTAATTGAACATTTTTGTCACTTATCAAATCATCGGTAAATCAAGAAATCAACATCATTTCTACCTATTAAATCAACTCGATCAAAAAATATAGTTAAAGTAAATTTCTTTTCGTCAATCCTAAAAAGATAACAAAAATTAATTTTAAATGAGATGCTATTATTTCGATTCGGTGAAATTTATATTTAAATAAAATATTAATTAAATTATGATACTAATATAAATAAATTTATTTTATTGAAAATAAAGTTACACAAGGAACTCTGTAATACAATTTTAAACGGGTAAAATAAATTATGGGATAAAATATTTATCTAAAACAGTTTTTCATTTTCTATAATAGGCAGGCTATCCCAAAACTCGTTAGGACCTAGCTCCTTGAATTTCTTCATAGAAATATCATCAGGGGATGCGATTTCCAGGTAGTTTATATCTCTGCTCTCAGGATCTACAGGTTTCCATTCGACGTTATTAAAAGAAGGCTTACTGGAAAAAAATCAGTTTTGTTTGGAATAAATTGAAAACTAGTCCTGAAAAATTATGAATAAATCTAAATATCTAATTCTAAATATCTAATTATATCTAATCTATCTGTTCTAATTGTTTTTAAATTATTCAGTCGAGATGTTTTCAGAGTTATTGGTCTATAGTGTCAGAGTATTTGAATAGTATGTTGAATACACTATTTTAAAATTAAGAAGTTACTTCTCTCTATACTCCGAACTACAGAGCCTTCATAAATGATTACAAGCCACGGGATCAGTAATTTTGTTTGACACAGTAATTTTATTTCCTCCATTAAACTGTAAAATTAAAAATTATTAAAACAGTAAGATCAAGTTTACATAAAAACACAACATTCTGTTTGACCGGCTGAGACTGGTGTAATTTTTCACATCAACCAATCAGCGATTGCCTTATCTCGAGCATAGACATAACGGTTTGTCATTGTTCGTGGTAAATGAGTCATTAATATTGGCAACGCCAAGATTTAGGGAATTCTTGTTAACAGTACCAATCGTGCAATGTTAGGTTGCTTAAGCTCGGTGGGCACGTGGCTCGTAAATATTTTGAAGGTTCTGTATCATAAAAGCGTAGGAAGCAGTAATAATTTAGAGACCTGACTTACTTAGTTTTTGCGTACGCTTCAGCAAATCCAGTAAAATGCTTCATCATTTTTTCGTCATTTTCTTTAAGTATTGGAGGTGTACCAATAATGGGAAAGAGAATTCGCCCGTCATCGCTATGAGCAGAGCCTTCATGTTAAAGAAATAAGATTATTAAAATTAAATTCATCTTTTACCGCTTACATGCACAACATCAGGGTGTCCCAAAGTCCCAAAATAACGTGTACAATGGAAAACCATTGATTCGTGGACTCAATATAGGCAAATTTAGGCTAATTTACCTATATCCGAAATCGCTTCGTTTAGTCGATGGCCTCAAATTTTGTGCAAATTTTTTGAATTTTGTAAATAACTCGAAAACGTATTAATCGATTTTGATTATTTTTGGGGTTTGAGCGTTTGCTTTCGATTTACACATTTTGGTGTTATACATAGTGTTTTTTAAAACTTATAACTGCTGCAAAATTGATGTGCGGTGATAATATCTGTTCTTAACTTTTTCCTCTTTCTGGCAATAATGACAACTATTTTTAATTATTTGATAGGCGACACCATTTGGAAGTTATTGGGACTCTTGCAGAATTTTGATTAAAAGGATGGTTTGAGTACAAAATAGTATATTGCGCAATAAGTGCGATAAGTTGTGTATTGCCCACGAAAGCGGAGCGCTTATCCGCTCAAGTGGACAATAGGCAACCGCACGAATTGCACATACTATTACAAATGCAATGAAATCTTAGAGTCCAGAAGCGGTGCCTCTGTATGGTCCACAGATTTTTATTCAGTTTAGGTTGACATAAATGACTCATTTACATGTCGTTTTTTAAAAATAATATTTTTATTACCTACTCATGCGGAATAAGTCCTACATTTCCTTTTGTTTTTTAGATCGGTAAATAGCTGTTTGCCTACTCTATTTATTTGCGTGCGGTAATCATATTACGCGAATTGTCAATAAACCACGCTAAATTTAAATAAACACTCGTTTAATCAAAATTCTACAGGAAACCCAAAAACTTCCGTATAATATCACCTATCAGATAAAAATAGTTGCCAGAAAGAGGAAAGAGTTATGAACGGATATTATCACCATAAGTACATCAATTTTGTAGCAGTTGAAGGTTTTAAAAAACACTCTGTATAAGACCAAAATTATTTACAAAATTCAAAAAAATCTCACGAACTTTGAGGCCATCTAGCGGCCAAACGAAGCGATTTCTGATATACATGAATTAGCCTAGATCTGCCTATTTTGAGTACGAATCTGTGGTCTTCCGTTGTACACTTTATTCTGGGACACCCTGTATAGATATGTATTTTCATATGTACTCTATGCAACATAATATGTGATCTACATTGACTTTAAATTGGATCTTTTCTTTGGGAAAATTTTTAAGACGACAAAATTACTCATCAATCATCTTTTATTTTCAGTGTAAAATAATTATACTTATTCTATTATTAATACTAATTTATTTTGCGGACTGAAATATTATAAATCAAAAAAAAGTTGTAGACGAGCGCTAAAATAAATAAGCATTCGTAATGCAATTTTATATTCTATATAGGTAATTAGCTTACCTGGCTTGATCCCATGGAATATCGGAGACTGCATTTCTAATATGTAGGTGAAAAAGTAATAATAAACTGGAGATTTCACTGCCGCAACATGAGCTCTAATAGCCTTTTCACAAGGTAATTTATAAACACGATCTGAAAACAACTAAAAACAAAGAATACGTTATACATATAGCTGCAATATTCTAGCAACAAAGTTCAGACGACTGTTTGTCCAAAATAAAGAAAAATGAATATACAGAATAGCAATCATTCAAGTGTCTCTGATGTTTTTTTGTTACGGGGACTCTTTGGGAAAGATGACTTCACTCTTGGTATTATGTCAATTATCCTGTGACAAAAAGTATGATAAATAATGACGTGATCTATTGGCTACCTGGCCATCACCTATACTACATTGTCTGTGGAATATTGTAACACCTTGTATAGTATTTTTTAAATGAAAATTTAAATTCTAAACATATGATTACCCAGATTCGCGCGAGATTTTGTTGAAGATATGGAATTGGGTGATTGGATTGTACTGTGTCTGTGGTTCAGAACTGAGGTTGATGACCTACAACAGAAGCCTACTGACTTTATGCTGGACATTTGTTAGTTGAGTTGGTGAAAAATCCGGCGACTGCAGAATTTTAGGTGTTTCTGACTTTTTTGGGAATGATTTTCTGGTGTTCATCCAAGTGTAATAGATTGGTAGGGTTGCATGAGGTTTGAGAAACCAAACTATGCAATGAGCCGCACGAATATGCTGCAAAACGGGCATACCTATTCCGTGGAACAGAGCACTTTTTCGTGTGCCTTTGTATAATAAATAGAATTACTTACATCGACAAGAGAATAGATGTTGTCATTTGTAATTGCCTCATCTTTCAAATAATACTTTCTCACTTTGGTAATAACGTCCATTTGATCAGTTGCTGCTACTGTGTCATTGATATCCAAGACAAAAGATCCAATCTCATTCCATCTTTTATCTAGATCTGACAATGTCTGCATTGTAGCAATCACTAAAAATATAAATAATAAATGCAAATGTATTTACAGCTGAACATTTTATTTACTAAAATCATCAAAATCGATCGAATTTGTAGCGTGAGATTTAATTTTTGAGAAATTCATCATTTCAGCTCTTGTTCACAATTTTTAAATCCTCCACTTTTACTGTACGAGTACTATTTTTTAACAACTGAGGTTTAAAGTTCTGTATGTTATGTTTTCAGAAGTTTTAACTAAAAGTGTAGATAATCGGTTCCCCGTAGATAATTATACTTACTTCCAGCAGGAATTAGTCCCTCATGCCTGGTGTTTGAGACCACCCAAGGAACGTCATACACCTTCCCTTCTTTCAGCAACTTATATGGTGGTTCGGATATGAAAGGGTTTTTCCCTCCTTTCTCTACCACCGGTCCAAAAGTGGTAAACGGTACAAAGTCCATAAACACAAACAGAGACTTCATCGCTAATATCAACTGTTTCGCTGGCACTTTCTTGAGGCACTGCGTCATTGATTTTGTAGATTCGGTAGTGCAATTCAGAGTGGTTGCCACCATTTTGGCTTTGGCGAGTGGGTTTTCCGTCAGCGCCCATGGTTGTAGGGCAGTACCACTTTGAGAAAAACCTCTGTGAAATAGGCCTGTAATGTGAATAGGATACTATAAAAATTCTTAGTTACTCTTTTCATGATTAGTAGAGGTGATATTTTTGGAATGCTGTCAAATTTTTAAATATAAAATAACGAAACTTTTTATTTAAGTGAATGTTTTCCAAGATAAAGTATAAAAAGACTTTTATTCATAACTGTTGATTTTTGAGTCATTGAACTTTTATATAATTTATATAAAAGAATAAGTCAGAATGGCGGAAAGGAGCAATGCCTAAAGTTTAAACTTATTTTTTTTTTGTTTCTTTTAAATCAAGTCTTTTATTCTTTTACTATTTTCATCGTAAAATTTTAATTTAAGGATTGATTTACGAAATCCAGTTTTTAAAATACAAATATATTCCTTTTAAAACCTTAAGTCCCGAACATAGCTTAAACAAATACTTATAGTTCCTATCACATATGCAATATCTCGCAAAAATCGAATAAGAACATAGAAAAATAAAAAGTAACATTCTAACCATAGGCATGCCAAAAAAGATAGCAAATAGCTTCAATTATTTTAACTAGAATTACACAAAAAATGAAACACGCATAAAATTAAAGGGTCAAAAGAATTTCTGAAATTTTTCCGTGATTTTTGACAGACTGTATTTAGGTGAAAATGGTTTGCATTAGTTTATATTTTATCTTCCACACCCTGTATCTTAAAAAGTAGGTGCCTTAATGAAATATGGTATAGCATCTATCTTTAATTAACGCCGTTTGCACCAAGTATGGTTTATATCTTCAAAACGCAACACTCAATTGTTTTTATATACGTATGTTTCTTTGATGTAGCAATTATATTTCATAGAACTTAGGCATTTAAATGTATTAAATGTACAGAATTTTCGATCATATGGCAAATTCAATAATGTCAGTCGTTAAAAAGCAACATAGAAGAAAATAATAGAAGAAAAATTTTGTAAATACTTGTAGGTACCTAGTGCTTAATAACCGAGAAAAAGTAAGTACTCGACAAAGAATGATTCACAAATTAATTATCCATAATTTCTAATAAGCACAGTATTTTTTTAAATTAAAAGCGGTAAAGAAGGTTTTTTCTTATTTAAAATAATCAAATCAAGCGACACGATTTTAGTTAATTTTCTTTCGAATTGAAAAATAGTGGCTAATTTGGTTAATATCTCGATGATTATTTACCTTTTGACCTAGGTGATAGATAATGATAGTGGACGCTAGCGGCACCTGCCGACAGACCAGTTAATGTAATGGACTCTGGGTTGCCGCCGAAATACTTGATATTGTCTTTAATCCACTTCATAGCCAATGATTGATCTTTGAGTCCATTATTTCCAGGTACCACTTCATCTTCAGTACTTAGGAAACCTTAGGAAATACAGTAAATATTTGTTTAATAACTTATTTCGAAGAAAAGCCAGAATGCTTCTACAGTGTAATTTCGCATTTAACTAAAAGCCTATCCAGGAATTACTCTATGTATTTAAAAATTTAAATCTATTTTTCTCTTTACCTAGTATTGCTAGACGGTAATTGAAACTAACGTAGACAACTTCTTTGTCCATAATAAAAGAAGGGCCAGCCATGAATTGAGGAGAACCCATCATGAAGGCACCTCCATGGATATGAACCACCACTTCCAAATTTTCTTTGCCCGTAACATTTTCTCTAGGTACATACACATAAACATATAAGCAGTCTTCAGTTCCTGTGAGAAACAAAAACCATTAGAAGTAGAGTGAAACGAAAATCCTATAAACTTATTACATCAAATTTACTGGAATAATGTCTAAAACAAGTACATGTCATTTTTAATGTAGTCTTGTGGTCTTGCATACAACTACGTTGCGAATAAGTTCCTCATTTTAAATTTTTTTTTCACCAGTGGCCCTTTATATGGACTGAAGACGTTTCGTTTGTAGAGAGATCATAGGAATAAGAAGGATGTAGCAGACACTGCTTAAACGTGCGTTTGTTCAAAACGTATATTATTTGCTTGCTTTCTTGGTTTTTGCAACAGTGCATCTCATGTCATGAATATGACAAATATTTTTCACATGCATCTATAGTCGTTGTTTTAATTCCGGAGCTTTAGCACCCACTTTGTTGTTGTTGTGCAGAATCATGGTTATTATTCAGAACTTCAGTGATTTCATCAAAGATAAATAATCCGTCTTCTTTCTTGCGCTAAAGCTTCAGTTTGATATAACACTTGCTATCATAGATATTGTAGCCTTTCACTGAGCAAAAAAGAAACAAACAACAGCTACTCCTCCCCACTGACGTGCTATAGTGAAAGTGTCATTTTTAAACTGTCACTGGTCAACTGTCAAACATACATCATTAACAAATCCTCGGCAGCAGAATTGCTTTAGCATAGGTACTTTAACTTTTCTAGGATTATTGTTGATAAACAAAGACGATTTACCTTTAGGACCATATATCATTGGAAATGGTAAGAAACTCATGCACATGTAGTTATTACTAGCCACTAGTATGCTATCCCATTTATCAACTGGTACAGGTTCCTGAAATCATAAATTATAGTTCTTTAACAATGCTCATAACATGATGTCACAAAAGAACTATTTTATTATAATTTTATCTATAAATTGTAAAACCATGATGAACCAGAATTTTAGTTTACATTTTAAACAAAATTAGACGATAATTATAGATAAAAATGTAGTTTCCTAATAGTTGAAGATACAATATTTCAGCATCAGTGAAACTATATCGAGACTGTTAAAATTAACTTGAGCGGAACCTCCTGGACTCACCTCAAACCGTAGATCCCCCACAGGAGGCTTAGCATAAGGAATTCCTTCGAAAGCAGTGTAAATCCTTCCGCTGTATGCTTTCTGATGAGTGCCTTGAACCTTTCCTTGGGGTATACTTATTATAGAAGCAGGGTCTCCTAATGCGTAAACTGTAAAATTAATATAAATTCGTCTGAAATGCATTTTGCATTCTAAATATTTTTAATTTTCGTGAAGTATTTTATTTTGCAGATAATAATATTTTGACAATAAGTAGGTACTTCATTGACAAAATACTATTCTTTGGATACGATTGAAAGAAATTATAACCACTGCATAACTTGAAGTTAGGTATATTTTAAAAATCTTACCGTTTGCAATGTATGCAAGTATAACATGTATTAAAAATAATGCAGCATACGTATTTTGCAATTTGTATTCCTGTTTCATCATCAAAATGCAAATAGATAATAAACTTTATCTGTGTATGGTAACCGTATAGTTGACTAACCATGAATGAATTATACTTAGTCTTTAGTTGTTAATATATGTCTTTAAAAAACTATAATTATTGTCTATTTATTTTCGAAAAGTAATTAATACGTTGTATTAATACGTAGGATGATTACGTTTTACTCACGCTATCCAAATTTCTTGAAAACAGGAAGTATAATTCTAAATCAAAACAGGAAATTATTAGGCCCGGTACTTTGAGTTTCGGTTAAGCCTTGGTTAAGTAATAACATGATTAGACTATACATATACTGATTTAATTTATAAAAATATATTCGCAGTCTAATCGCCTGATAGATAATCAAGTCTTAATCGGGACTCAAAGTAATGGGTCTTAATGAGAAATGTGGTTCGAAAACTTCATTATTAGTTATTCCAACCCAAACGTTTAAGAAGAATCTTCTCTGAAAATGTGTTTCTCGAATAGCATGAGCGTTTTCGATTGCCCACACATAATCATTGTGGAAATTGTTGATTCCATCTCTTATAAATGTAGCTTCGCTACAGAGAGTTTTTGAAAGAGATTCACAAAGACGAACTCTTTGGGGAAGATCCTTGGGTAGAATTCCTTATACCGGTTGGTAAGGATAGAGATGCAGTACGTTTGCTCGCAGTGTCTTGCACATCCGTCCTACTTTGTCCAGTAAGTACAGACATTGTTCTCGTATTAGTACCAGGATCATATACAACAAACGCAAGAACTTTTGCAGTATTGTTTCTTCGCATAACTTCTCTTTCACAAGTTGTTTCTTCGCATAACTTCTCTTTCACAAGTCGGTTTAAGGAAAGCACTTGTTAATCGAAGAGTTGTAAAAGTTCTATTGAACGTTTGCTTGTCTGGAAGACATCGGCTTGGATATCGTCGCTGATATTCCCTAACTTTAAATAAAATGAAGCCATGAATTTATAGTCCAGACGGTATCTGTTTCAAAAAGTCCATATTTGGGTGAATCGTATATCCACGAGATTTTTGGCTTTTTGGCTTTCAAATATCACTAGAAATTAAAATTTTTCTATGCACATAAAAAAAAACGTGGGCTTAACTTTTGACGGCACAATATGTTAGAAAAATTCGAAAAATGTCATAATTTTCTTCCTATTTAATTATGTATCTTTTCAAGAGTTGATTTTAAGCGAAAATGGAAGAGGAAAAAAAATTTTGTAATTTTTTTACAAAATATAACTAGTTACAAATTGAATGAATCATGATTATTATTGTAAAAATCAAAAAAATAAAAAAATCGACAAAATTGGGGTTAAAAACATTACTTTTTAAGGAATTTTTGGGGTCTTTAAATTTGGTATAGGATCTTCATACTTGGCTCAAGAAAACTTCATGTTATATAGAATCATCACACCAAATTTCATCAAATCCGGTTCTATAGATTTTGCATAATAATTTTACAATCTAGATTTTGAAAAATAAATTGCATATTTTCAAAATTTTGCACAGCGAAAACCAAGGCCCTTAGATATTTGAAAATTTAATCACATAATATAGGAGGGCTCTCAAGGTTTCAAATGATTTTTGAAAATTTTGAATCCGTCAATTAGGAGAGCTCTGGCGCTTGTTTAAACATTGGTCGAAATATTTGTACTATACATAATTTTGTATTTTTGTAATATAACGAGTTAAATTTCTCATTTGCTTATATTTTAAACAGTAAATAATATTTGAATTATACTTTAATCACAAAAGAAATGACGATTAAATTAATTAATTAATTAATTAATTACTAATTTTCGACATATTTTGAAAATAATTGTTGTTTAAACAATTTTAGAATATTTAAATAAATTTGTTTAGAATATTTAAATAAATTTGTTTTTGATCTTGTATACAAGTTTATGCACTTACTTTTGATACAATAAAAAAATTAAGTTGATAATTTATTAAAGGAAGTTTAAAGATAAATAATTATCGGAATGTTGAAAGACCAATAATTATTAACGATAGGCATTTGAAAATACGCTAATTGTATTTTTTAAATCGCGAGACATCGATTAAAAAAAATCATCAAAATCGGACCTCTAGAAGCTGATAGGTATATTAAAATTTTTTAAGAGCGTCGCGGTTTTGAACTCGCCGATTCAATTTCGAGCAAACCGAAGCGGTTGCGCTCTCTGCTTCCCCCACCACCACCACCACCCGTACGATTTTCTTGAATTTCTCGCTTGCATAAATAACTTTAAACGCGTTTTAAAGTAGGTTGCCAATGAAGAAAAGTATTGCAAACTTAGATCTGGTAAGTACTCCGAATACCAAAGGTATTTTTCGAAATCTGTTCTTTTTTAAAGAAGCATCTTTCCAATAACTTTTAAAACCTGCTTTAACAAATTTAATTTGATTGAGTAAAGTTATTCTAATTGTTTATAAGTACAAAAATTCGACCAATGTTTAAACAAGCACCAGAGCTCTCCTAATTGACAGATTCGAATGTTTCAAAGAGCGTTTGAAAGTATATATGTGATTAAATTTTCAAGTATCTATGGGCCTTAGTTTTTGCGGTGCAAGATTTTGAATCTTGACAAATTTATTTTCAAAATCTGGATTGCAAAATTATTTTGCAAAATCTAACTAACCGAATTTGATGAAATTTGGTGCGATGATTCTACATAACATGAACTTTTCTTGAGCCAAGTATGAAGGTCCTATACCCAACTTAAAGACCACAAAAAAAATCCCTAAAAAGTAATATTTTTTAACCCCATTTTTGGCGATTTTTTCGATTTTTACAAAAATAATCATGATTCATTCGATTTGTAACTAATCACATTTTGTAAAATTTAATTACAAACATTTTTTTCCTCTTCTATCTTCACCTAAAATAAACTTTTGAAAAGATACATAATTAAATAGGAAGAAAAATATTACATATTTCGAATTTTTTTAACATATCGTGCCGCCAAAAGTTAAGCCCACGTTTTTTTATGTGCATAGAAAAATTTTAATTTCTAGTGATATTTGAAAGCCAAAAAGCCAAAAATCTCCGTGGATATCAGGGATGGGCGTTTACGCGTCGTCTTTAATTGTCGACGTCTACGTGTAGACTTCGCGTAGACTATGTAAACAACGTAGACTATGTAGACAATGTAGACAAAGCGGAGTTTGCGCTCTAATTTCAGTTTAATCTAACCTATATTATATTTAAACCTTCAACTAATCTTCTGACTGCAACCTATTTTTTTTAAGTTTTGCATACATTATTTATTTTTAGTTACTTTTTTTAAAAACCAATAATGTTGATGATTATGTTATTATACACTTGCTAAACAATTTTAAAGAATAGTTTTATTTTATTTAATTATGTATTTTTATAATGGGGTATTTTCTTTCAATTGAAATGAAAGTGAAAACTTTCATTTTTGTATACTTAATATATATTTTTTTATATTTTTTAAAACAAAAATTATTATAAAAAAAATTATATAAATATATAAATTAAGTGTTCTTAAAACTTAATCAGATATTTCAAATTGTTGCTGACTTTAAAAATGATAAAATTTTCATTAAAGAATATATGCGACATATCTTTATTTAGAGATTTTATAGAAAAAAAAAATGTTGGTCAATCTGACCTGACCTAAAACTATCGAGGAGCATCAAGCGAGACACACTTTTTTTTTCTCGTGAATTATCGGCAGATATTGTTTGATCTTTTGTACTCTGTTCATACATTTTTTTTATAGATGGTTGTGATAGGTAGGTACTTTTCCAAATTCCAAATTTTCAATTTTCCTTTTTTTTTGCAAGAATCGCGAGTTACAGCCTTACGAAATTATTTTTTTGAGGTACATACCTACCACACCTTTTTCTAGTTTTGAGAATTTCTTAATTGTCGACATTGTCGACATTGTCTACATTGTCGACTCTTCCAAATTAAGTCTTCATCTAGATCATTGTCTACGCGTAGACAATTGCATTGTCTACGTCGACATTGTCTACCCGCCCATCCCTGGTGGATATACGATTCACCCAAACCAAAACAGATACCACCTAGTCTATTAACACAAGTGACGGAAGAAATAAAAAAGAACCAACTGTTAGTGATAACAATTGACGAACTGACATATTTTTTGTAATCCCAGTCAAGTTGCTAATCATTATTTATATTTTAGCAACTACCTATTCGATCTGGCAACTTCAAATCCCGATATTTCAAGAACCGTTGGGAATTCAGGAAAACCAAATAGAATCAATTTTGCTTAAAATTAGTATCTCGGATACCTCGGCGGTCACCCTGTATGTGGAAAGTAATCATAGTTTTTTTTTATCTTAAAATTATACGATTAAACTAAACACCCATTGCCTGAAAAAATTAAGTATGTTTCCAAAATATCTATAGGTATGCAGTTTGCTTAAATAGAATAAAGTAAATTTGTGGTGTAGCTTCTTGGTAAAATTTAGGAAATGAAAAATTTTGAGCAGAAAATTTCAGCTCGTTGAAATAAAACAAGTGAGCTACGGAATTAAATGGAAAATGTAAAATAAAAATAAAAAATTATATTTCTGCAGTTTCCATGCCAAAAAGCAACATTTTATAGTCTAATTAGATAACTAACAAGGATTTTATTATTGTAAATAAGATATTTATTCCTATGATAATTTATTTACTTTTTTATCCCATGTTTCCAAATAAATACTGGATTTTTAATATTAATGGAATATCAATGTTCTTATTGATAAACATGATTATCTATTTGTACTGTTTTTGGTTTATATCTGGATTTGTCTAGAACTAACAAGGTTTGCATCTTAGGTTTCAATATCGACAGTTTACATACACTGAATTCAAATAAAATTTTGTCAAATGGATTTGGTGAAGCAAAAACGGCATCTAAAATTAGTACCCTGCATTAATAAGCATAAATCATCTACTTTTCAACTTCTTACTGCTTTTATTTCAGTTTAAAAAACTAAACCACTAAATTATTTACAATAATTTTAAGAAAATTTAATTTAATGAATACAAAGGCGCGGGATGAGCTTCAACATCACAATTGATATCTCAATACGTTTCTAAAATTATAATAAAATTTGTTGTAACTTACCTAATAAGATACTAAAATAAAGCACAAATGTTTCCATTCTTTAACAAGATACAATAAAGACAATTAAACCAAAAACCACGTCTGTTTTATGATATATATCTGTCCTACTGAAGTTCATTAATGTCAACGGAAGCACTTATTTTTATTTTACGGAATAATAGACACTTGGATTGTCATAAACATTAGTTTCACATTATCCTTGTTTAAATATGAGGCACATTTTTTATGAAATTAGTTGTCCAGAATAATTAGTGTTAATATTCAAGGACTATTACCGAATTGAAATCGTTGTATGGTCATGACTTTATAAGCTATTTCTAAGGGTGGTGCTTTTTGAGAAAGCTTTATTTAATTTGAAAAAGATCTAAAAAGAGGAATATGTAAAGAATAATAATAAACCCGTGTTTAATAAATGTTCTCTTTGTGGCTAGAAACATTTTATAAAGGTTTTGTTATATACCTCTTATGAAGAACACACATATTTTATTGAAAATAAGACAATATGGAATTCATCATATATTTTATCCTAAATAAGAATCAACAAAATTTCAATACTATTTGATTGTTATCTACAATTTTTTCTTTATTTATTTTGATATGTTTTGTAAAAAATGTCAAAATTAATGAAACCCTGGCGTCAAAAAGATCACTCAAGGGTTATTTTGTATGAAAATAGTTTAGGTTAACCAAAAATCTCACATTGAAAAAAAGAGACAAATAAAAAATACGAAATACACGTTTTGAAAGCCAATCTGTTCCTGGCATAGATCTAATATAGAACTATTAGATCTATGGTTCCTGGATAGCCAAACCTGAAATGACACTTCGTTTTAAAATTAGTTTTGACAGTTTAAAGTCTATCTGTCTGTTTGTCAAAAGATTCATAAATTTGTCACATCGTTACATTTTAAGAATTAACATTTATCCTAATGGCCGTAATTCACACTAATGCAGAAATGACTGACATGTTATTAGTTGATGGATATTGGCAAGAAAATAGCCGCAAAACTGTCAGGTGGTGTAATTTAAATAAAATAAAATAAATCTGTAAGAATAGGTATATAAAGAAAGATTACCAAAACGACAGATACCAGACGTCTTCGAGAAACTGGCAGCTTTGCTTTTGTGACTACTAATTTTGGATGACGACGTGCATACGATTAGGATTCCTAAGGATGAAGAACACATTTGGAAATCGAGGCTAAGCACCAGACGCCTAAGTTTCGCAAATCAGAACTTCTAAAGATGTGGTTAATAGGGTTTTAGAAGAACAACGGCTGCACCCATATCACCTTCAGCCTATACAAAACTGTTTAGACCTTTTATCTGTGTTTATCTCTACGCTTTTGTCACTTTCACACAATAATTTTATTTACTGATAAGTGCTGCTTTACAAGTCGGGGCATAAAAATGTTCGTAATCTACTGAGACTATATTTTAAAGACGGATGCAGAAATCATAAGAACAGTTCAGTTCAATTGTCTTTAAAGAGTTAATATTTGTGTCTATGGAACCGGGTTATTTTGATATTTTTTTCTTGTCTTCATATTTTTTTGTAATTTGTATTGTTCTTGGTCCATTTCTCCTACATTCCTGTCATTGTTGACCAATTCGTCTTTAAATTTTTTATTATAGTTAGCTCGTTAAAATTAAAATTAAAAAAAAATAAATTAAAATTGTAACGCTAATATGCTAAATATATTAAACTTTTCACAAAATGAAGTCTATGTTGCGATAATACAAATTCAACCAAATATGACATCCGAACCTGATTTAATACGGGCATATTTTATAAGAGACTGTGCCTCTGCGTTTGCTGCCCCGTTAACAACTATCTTTAATTTATTAATAAAATAACTTGTTATCCCGAATTTTGGAAATTATCTAGAGTATGTCCAGTGCACAAGAAGGACAGTAAGAATGAATTAGTTAGTTATAGGCGAATTTCCATTTGCAACTTCCCCAAAATATTCGAAATTTTATTATACGGCTCCTTGTCTGGGTTGATGTCATGGAACCAACACGGTTTCATAAAGGCAGATCTACTGTCACTGACCTTATCCAGAAAACACAATTTATTATAGCTGTTTTACATTGACAATTTATTGATCAATTAATTCATGAAGTCGCTTCATCAAGAAATTGGACAAGTGTAATGCACCAAATCTACTGTCAAATAACTTCATGAATTTATTCATCAAGTTCTTGACAAATTAGAGCATGTTCTAATTTTCGTCAATTTCTTCGTGAAGTTCGGAAGTATCAACCCAACAGATTTCCAGCCTCAGATCAGTAATGAGGTTATGTTATTGGAATATGTAAATAATTGTGTGGCGACGTGCTAGTTTTGAATTATTTTTACCGATTTGTTACTTACAAAAACTAATATTTATATAATACGTGTCATAACGGTACCGCTGTTGTATCGCTACAATTACGAGTGGAAAGCTGACATTTTTGAAATTTATTTGCTTCTTTGATTCATTGGTAGAACTGATTCATACGTCAAAAAACTTGACAAAGTCTAGCAGTGTAAAACCACACTGTTTACCAATAAATTCGTGAATTAATTCATGAAGAACTTCGTCATTTATTCATCAATAAATTGTCAATGTAAAACAGCTATTAGTGATAAATTTGACCAGATGATACAAGTCGACCGACTTCACTAAAGCTTTTCACAGACCAACCACGACCTCTCGTTATATAAATTAGATAGGCTTGGTGTGCCTGAATCACTATTATAATTTTTTAAATTATATTTACAAAATAGGTATCAATTTGTTCAATTTCGTGGTCTTAAGTCCCACAAGGTTCATCAAATATCTGGCATGCCTCAATAAATTCATGAATCCTTTTCACCAAAACTATTTTTGTAGATAATTTTGTAATGGTGTAATTAATAATAATAAACTTGCTTGATCTACTTTGATTCATAAAATCTAACATTTTTCAAAACATTCAGTTAAAAACAATCATAATAATTAATAGCGTAACCTTCTGCAGAAAATGTCTTCATTAACATATGTGTGGAAATTGGACTTGTTAATAGCCACTTTTTAATTCTAGTATGAAAACCATTGAGATTCAGACAGCGAGACCAATGTTGACTAGTTGATACGTATCAGACGTGAAGCGTCCAATTAAGAAATATTGTTGGAGTTCGAGAGTAGGTATGTGAATGCCAATTAAATGATCAAGAACTGAATTGCAATAATAGCACTTATTTCCGATTTTCCACATCCTGCAAATTAAACAGTGGTTTCTCATCCAATTCATTTTATTTAATGTTTCCAAATAAGAATAATGACAGTAATTTATAGTCACAATTTATGGATTGGGAGAAATCTAAGACAAATGATAGTATGATTTCCAATAATTTTCGTAAAAGAACATTCAATTACAAATTGTTGTATCCCACAAAGCATTATTTCATCTTCATTATTAAGGACTAAGACCACTGATGTAAAAAGATCAATTTTTCTTTTACTGAATTAAAAGTTGCTTAGAATAAGAGGAAAAAAATGTTATCCCTTCACAAAATTTTTTTCATCGAAATTCCCAAATCTTTCCAAGTGCGTCGGACTACCCCAAAACGACTACTTGAAGCACATAGATACCCGCTCAAAGGGTACAGCCTAATGACTTACCTTTTGATTTCTAACTTCTCTCATACGACTAACAGATGTCGTTAAAAGGAGTTCAAGATTAATTAGAAGCATTTTCAAACGAAGTACTTTAAATAGTAGTATATAATATATTTTTAAACTTTTTTCTGGAAACCCGATTTTTTAAATGACACGAGGGCATAACTCCAACAATTTTCATTCTATTCACTCGAAAGCTTGACTATATCTTTAACAAAACATTACAAACAGGATAAGTTGATTTTAACATTATTTATTGATAAAAGATTGCCCCTTTATTTGTTGAACTTTTTACGTTAAATGTTCGCTAATTACACAAAAAGATTTCCTATGTATTTCTCTAGCCATGCAGATTAAAAGAAAATTTCTTGTATTTTCCATCTCCAAATTTACATCAGTTACACTCAAAATCAACATGCGTCGTAAGAGTGGCTGTAGCGTCGTCTTATTATATTATGTATTTACAAATAAATACATTTTTAAATGCGGCAATTAATAAAATTTACATGAAACCATTAGGAATTTTTCAAAAAAAAAAACAGAAATAACTAAGAAAAAATATCTCTTAGCTTTGTACTGAAATAACAACCGTAGTTAGTAAAGACACATCTAAAAATAATATGAATAATATTTATTTAGTGATCGAGGGAGTTTAAAACCATTTCTTAAATACAAGTACTTCGGTTATTATAACAAAAAGTGGATTCTGTACACAGGTACACTAACATACCAAATTTCATTTAAATCAAGCAGTGTTTCAGAAACTCCAAATGTTGGAATAATCTTTGCCAACTTTGATGACTAAATGAAGCAACTTCGGTTACAGTTAAATATAGTAAGATCGTCTTGGTTTGTATCTACTTAATCTTCATTGTCTTTTTATCGAATTTTGTAGCGTTAATTAAAATAAAACAAATCAATTTTACTTCACACTTTTACTAATAAAAAATAACTAAACTACTAGCAGAATATAAGGCAAATAATCAAATGGTAGCAAAATTTCATACTGTAAAAAAACAAAATATTATGGCACACTGCAAAATAAAAAATCATTGATCAAAACAAATTATGTCAACGCTAATATTTGTTCAAATTAAAAATATATTTTACTTATTACTACAAATTTCACCATTTGAATCTTTTAAGCATTCGTGAGATACAGAGAGCAAAATACTAAGCAGCTTTAACAAATCCTATCTTTTTGTTGAAAACATCATAGATGCTGTAGTATTCAGACAAGAAGGCTCCTCCCAAAACCCACAATCCTGTCTCTGACGGAGTTGCAGTTGGTACGAAGGAAGACAAGCATACAGTAAATGACATGTAAGACATCTGCAAATGATTAAATCAGTGAATTAGTTCATTTACAAAACGATTAATTCACAAAAAAAAACTCAATGTGGGTTGTGTCCTGTAAATGTTATAAATCAGAGATAGTTCCTGATACCAGGAAACTTGCTATGAATCCATCTCACAAATTTATAAAAAGTTATTGAGCAAACCGGTATATACCCACAAACTGATCAGTTCTTTAATTTATAAAGCTACGGTAATTTTCATAATGAACAAAGTCTCAAATTGTTCACAGAAGAGTGCTTTTTTAAGATTCAAGACCAATTTTTTCAATATGTGGTGAACAAATGCGTTAAGCAAAGAGACTGGCAGGGGTAGAGGAAAGAAAAACTGCAACTTATCTGCCCAAAAGCTGCCATTTTCCGCAAATGGATGATGATGATTGGAAGTGGGGGAATTATTATTTTAGATGAACTAAATTTGTAGCATAACTGCGCAAATGAGCTGTCCATACAATCTAGCGTAGTGGTGGCATGTGAGAGAAATGGCAAATTAGTAATATATCGACGCTTTAGTACGAAAACATGCCATTTCAGATTTCGGTTGGAAAACATGCTACCCTCAAATTTCGGTTGAAAAACATGCTATTTCAAATTAAGCTTGCAAAACATGCTAGCTCAGATCTTTCAGTAAAAACATGCTGTCTCACACAAAAGTAAGTTTGACTAGAAATTTAAAAAGTAATTAAAAGCGTCGATATGTCTTATCTATTTCTTACTTCTATACATAGTGTCAAGTAACAATCAACTACAAGTTTCCAAGTTTTTAATGTTTTCTGTTGTGGTAACTTTCCTGTTTGGAGGTACTAATTAATTGTTGTTTGAAATATTGGCAACAGTAACTACCTATTAAATTTTTAAAATATACTTCTAATATACTCAAAAAATCTTATAAGTAAATCCCATCAACTGAAACAAAAAGACAGTAATCCTTACAGGTTTACGTTAATAAAGGTAAGAATGAATTAAGGAAAAAAAATTGTCATAAAAATCCACAAAATTGTAGCACAAATAAATTTTTCTGCAAGATCTCAAACATTCGTCCAATTTTTGTAATTGAAAATGTGAAGAAATCCATAAATTGTAAACAGGGTAAAACTTTCAGAAATAATTGTATGAATCAGAATGTAAATATCACATTTTTTACCAATACTGTGCAAAAGATTGATACACCTTGTAGCACGACCTCATTGTGTGCTAACTTGTTATGATTGTGTGGACTTTCCTGACAATTTTTATCTGTGCAGTCCAAGAGTAGACCGAAGAATGGTGAACAGAAAAAACAATTTTTAAAGTATGTAAGTTCTTTCTGGAAAATTTCTTTCTTCAAGAAAAACTGCCCCCAGAACCCCAGAGAAGATTTTCTACAAGTTTATGTAACTGTCTTTGAAACTGTTCTGGTCAAAAGAAATGAATAGAAGTAAAGGATGCTTATAAAATTTCCTCATCCTTTTTGTACACATGGAATTCTGTGTTGAAGATAGTTTGAGATACATAACAAAACGAATAGCAAATAACTAAGTTTTAAAAAAAAATTTTGGCAGTTAGTTTCCATTTCTAGGTTACAACTTCTACTTTGTGAACAAGTTAATATAATAAAAATTAACTATCAGGTCATAGGGGCTCTACTCAAATTGTGTTGTATTTAGTAGTTACATTATATTATTTAGTTTATTATCACTGCTCTTCTGAAATAGATATCAAGTCAAAACAAAAATTGGGATTTAAAAAAGAAATGTTATCAAAAATATGATGTAAATCTCACCTTAATAATATACTCAGAACCCTCTAGTCGGAAAGGTTGTCCACCCAGGATAAAATCAATTTTAGGCAATTTATTAACAGTTTCACAGTCCACCTAGAGCACAAAAAAGAGTATTAATAATGACAGGAAAAAAAATTGAAAAAATGCAAGGAAAATATTTGCAAAGGCTCAAGGAATAGGCAAAGAAGACAGTATGCATACTAAAATTTTTTTGTCGTATTAAGAAATACTTTCTTACACTGTATCTGTTGAGGAATATATTTTTAGCCTTTATGTCATCGTGAATTTTATCGATATCTGCCTGTGGTCCAACAATTGTGTTGGTACTTGTATCGGCTATAACTTTGCAACCATTTGGACACAGTGTATAATTTGATTTGGAACTATACACTATTTCAACCCTGAAAATAAAAAAAAAATGATACTTATATTAGATTACCTACATATAAATACAATTCAGCATTTACTGTTGTCGTATTTTACAGATATAAATTGTCCTGAAGGAAAAAAATGTCCACAACAGTATAGATGCCAAATAAGATAAAAAACAGTTGTAAAAAGTTACCTGTCCATAGTAAATTTCCAGTACTGACCAGCATCCACTGCCAAATATGTAATAGGGTCAGGAACTTTATTTGTTACATGGATATGTTTTGGTTCGACAAATCCTAACAAAATATTTCCGCCTTTATTTGATTGTCGATCTCTAAAAACAGAAAAAAAATGTATTATAATTAAAATATCTAACAAAAAAATTAATAATTGTAAAATCGAATAATAGTAATGGCAACAATTGCAACATATGTAAAATTGTTACCTGTTAAGGTATATCGAGAAAATAGGATTTTGAATTTTCTTTTGTGCCAGTAGAGTATAGAAAAATGGATTGTATGAGTCTGTCTTCATACCAAGACCTAGGACTCCATCAATTTTGTTGAACAAAAATGTCCATGGAACTGTGACCATTTCTACAAAGGACTGAGCTGTAGCGTTGGAGTGAGCAATCTGTAAAAACATTATTTAAAAGAATACCGTTTTTAGAATAATCAAATTAATTGCTTAGAACTAAAATTAAGTAGGTACCTATAATAGCATGCATAAATAACTTTAGTCACTGCTAACAGTGTAAAATATTTTATGATAAACAACAGTATGAAAAAATTTGTTGTCCTTTTATTTTCATAAGCAAGTGAGGTATTGGGTCAATCAGATTGTAACATTATAATGTTTCGTCACATATATTTTTTGTAAAATATTAAACTTCATGTCCGTTAATCCTAAGATGAAATGGGTAAATTTGACTTGCATGACGTTGAATTTGATTTGCAAAAACTTGAACTTGGAGTACAAAAGATGTATGATAATTATACACTATTACGACCATATCTTTCATACTACCAAGACTGTGAATTAATTATTCTAAGTATTTTCTGACTTCATACGCAACATTTGGTCATGTTCAAAAATTACTTTATCCTCTTTTGATCATTTTTCTTTCAATACACAGCTCAAATGCATGAATTATGTTCAGTAGCATTAACCAGTGTTGGTTTCATTCAGTTGAAGCAGCTCATAGTACACAATACCAAGCTGGTCCCACCAAATTCATCTAGCTGAGGGCAACACCAAGCATAATCAAAAGAACTTAAAAAATTACCTACTTTTGGTTGCCTAAAGAAATTAGCTACTTTAAGAATACAAATATATACAAAAATACTTACAGAAAAATTATCATATGAGTAAAATCCTGTGAGATTATATTTGCCCTCATTGGCTACATAGGGCCGGTTATCCTTTTTATATTCTGAAGATTTCGTATGATCATATCTGTTGTGAAGCCCTATAAAAAAATATATAGGTATTTAGAAAACTGCTTAAAATAACTAATTCTACATACAAATTTAAAGCACCAGGTTTTCTAAAGAACCAATATATGTATATTATTAAGAAAATAATAAAAAGGGGTATACTTAACTACGTACCATCGTCCTAGGTGATGCGTTTTTATATTTCTAATTTATTTTTTGAAAATTTTATATTTTGTAATACTTACTTAAATAATTTTATAATATTTTACTTCATTTCATACATATTGTTTTGAATTTATTGTCTAAATACAGATTTATTTGCTGTTGTTTTTCAATAAAACTTACAACATCCAATAGACTTCCATTCATTGCATTTGGATGAGAGAACCCACGAAAGACTCCAAGCTGTGTCAAAAGCAACATTTAAGGTTTGGCCAGGATGGCCTATTACGACTTTTCCATAAAATTCATTCTGTAGAAAAATATAAATATTAAACAAATAAACAATTAGAGGGAAACAAATAATCATTAAATGGATACCTACATAAATGTTTTATAGATATGTTTGAAGTTTAGATTATAAAGTCCAGTGTCAGAGATTTTAATGAGTGGTTTGTTATTTCTGTTGTTCAAATTAAATAATTAATTTAATTCTTCAATTTATTAAGTAATAAACTTTAAATTTAAATTTTCGTTTTTTGCATATAATTGTTATTGATTATTTTTAACTCTATTCGAGCTTAGGAAACTATTTAAATGTTAAAACGAAGGTAAATATATTTCGGAAGGATGTCTAAAAAAATAAGTTCGATAAGTATACAGGGTGTTTCAGTTTGATATGTCACAAACACGTGAGCATATTTTGGGAATAAAAATAAGAATAAAAATTGTGTTATTTGATTGTTAACTGCTATTGAACATATTAACTACAATAAGTAATATGAAATTTTGCTTAATTTTGAAAATTTCTGGCGCAGTAATAATTTATGTATCCTATTGCCATAATCTTAAGAAGAAGTATGTAGTAGTACTTAACACATTATTTGTCCTTTTTATTTAATTAAGATAATATACATTTGACCAAAGTTATTATAAGAAAACTTCATGTCATCATATAAAATTAAAACTTGTTTCAATATAATTTATTATTATTAAATATTAGACCCCTATCTAATAAAAATTTACAATAATTGTTCGAAGTGCCGTCCTTGAACTAGGATGCACGCTTCAGCTCGACGTAATAACGATTTCCGAACTCGTTCGAAAATCGCTGGGGTATTTAAAATTGCTCAACAACTATTTTGTATGCGAAGCTGTAGATCTTCAATACTTTGAACCTCTGTTTCGTATACCAAACTTTTTAAGTGACCCCACAAAAAGAAGTCAAGGGGGTTCAGGTCAGACGACCTTGCTGGCCAAGCTACATGACCCCCTCGAGCTATCCACCTATTTGGATAGGTGTTCTGCAAATAATTCCTGGCAGCTAAACTGAAGTGGGCAGGTGCCCCGTCCTGCATAAACCAGAGCAATACTCTTGTTGCAAGTGGAACCTCTTTCAACAATCCTGGCAGGATTTCCTCTAAAAAATGCCTATTAGGCTTGGCCGGTTAAACGGTTTGGCAAAACATGTGGCCCGATTAAAATATCGCCAATAATACCACACCAGATATTTAGCGAGAACTGCTGTTGATGCGTACCAGCGACAGTCCAATTAGGGTTCTCGTCAGCCCAGTAATGCATGTTGTGTGAGTTCATTATGCCATCTCTTGCAAAAATGGCTTCATCAGTAAATAATATGTGTGCTACAAAGTTAGGCTCTTCTGTACAACGGTTCAGCAGCCAGCGACAAAATTGTTGTCGAGGTGGATAATCTGCTGGAGTCAACGCTTGCACCTTTTGAAGGTGAAATGGATACAGCTGTTGATTACGAATTGTGCGCCAGACCTTTGTATGACTTACGCCCAGTTCAGAGCTAATTTTTCTGGTGCTTGTCGTTGGTTCCCTTTCCACCATTTGAAGAATCTGATCTTCAAAATTTGGTTGCCGCGGTCGCGGTCTCTCAATAGCCCCTATACGAATTCCTCTTTCCCTTAAACGCGCGTCAACTGCCTGAAATACCCTTCAGTCAGGAATTCTTCTCCCAGGAAAGTTTTCTGCGTACAATCGTCTAGCTTCAACAGCATTACCCCAGGCTGCACCATACATCAAATGCATATCTGCATACTCTTTATTTGTGAATGCAACCTGCGCCATTATTGAAAAACCACATATACATAAACTGCATAAATGCTATTTATCATAAACATTAACTGTCACATTCAAAATTACATAATAAATTGGATTTTGTTTTCACGGCATACTGAATTCAGAAGCATTGTCGCATGTTAACACAGTCGTCGAAAAACAGACTTCTATGAATATCCAATTTGTGACTAAACTATGAGAGACACGAAGAAAATAAAAGAGACCATTTTTATTGGAAATGAATTGTAAAATTATGAAATGATCACTTTTTTTAATTTAACCAGTGGCGTCACATATTTATTTTGCCCAAAGTGACAGACTCACCCTGTATCTACGCCACTGCTTAATTTTAAAGAGCCATATTTTGGCAGCAAATGCAATATCCTCGGCTTACACAGTACCCCAAATTTGATAACAATATCTTAATCCGTTTAACAGTTATGAAAGAAAATTTTAATTTATAGAAAAAATTCAACCCCCTGTATCTTCATAACGAAGGAAGTTAGAACAAAAGTTTACCAGACTTTTATTCTTATTTTTATTCCCAAAATGTGCTCACGTGTTTGTGACATATCAAACTGAAACACCCTGTATATTCTTGTGGCCATTTTAATTTGAACACACTGTAGAGAAGGTATAATCTAAAACATTTTTATTAGGACGTTGGATCATCAGTAATCATATGTCTAACTTTTATGATTGAGTTAAACAATTACGTGGTAAATGCAACAATTATTATTTTAAAAAAAATCCATACTGGCATGCCCTGAACAACACTATTATAATAAGAAATTGTCGTACCTAATAGGTAATATACATAATTATACTAGAATTGATGAAAAATTATAAAAAATAAACTTTGTAAATATGAATTATATCAATAATGTAATAAACCCTTATATTTCAATTTCTAATTGGCAGTTTCATAGAATTAATCATATTACTATGGCGAAAGTGTGAAGAAGAAGAAGAAATCTGTAGTTGTAAATTTTTCTTTATACTTTATCATATTTTTGTGTTCATGTTTGTTGGAGGTTGAGGTTATGTAGTTGAGGTTAAAAAAGTGTATTAGGTGAACTGAAATAAATATAAGATAAAATTAAATCGCTAGTATTGAAGTAAGTTCTTACAGTCGCAAAATTTTTTGTTATACAAATTGCAACAGTTACAAATAATGATTTTTCATTAATCACATTTACTTTACAAAAATAAAATTTATTCGGTAAAGAAAAATATTTTTACAGCAATTTCAACAAAATTTAAATAATTTTTTAAAATAAATTAAGTTATGTACATATTTTAATAGGGTAGGCCTACATCCAAAATCCAGGAACCGACGACTCTAATTAATCTATTCAAATTTTAAGTTAGAATATTAAAATTTTATCGCCAAAAGTAAAATAAAATTTAACTTTTTTTAACATAGCGAAAGTAATAAAAATAATTTCACATTCTGTTACAAAAACATAAAATGTAGGAAAATTCGATAAAAATATGAGTTTCACAACTATCAAAATGTAGTTTTAATTTCTAGCATAAACACATAATAATGTTACATTTTGTTCCTATCTTTTATCATTATTGCACTGAATGCTTTAGGTTAATACATTTTTATTTTTTATTAACTTATATGAAAATATAAACATTACGAAATGTAAACATGTTGCGAATAGTTACAGATAAATTGTGTTGAAATAGCTTATGAAAAGTATTTAATGACGGCAGAATTTTTTTATTAGTTGTTAATCTCTTGTTCTGGGAGTAGATGGTAACAAAATTGTTGTGATTGGTTTCGGGATATTTTGTAAGTTTTGACAACATTCTCCTTTTATCTTCACATACTTTTACTTTCAAATTAAAATACTTATACTTAATAAGTAGGTATAAATCGAGTGGATTATGCCAACAAGTTTTTATTTTTCAGGAGAAATGTCAGAGCAAACAGCATTATCGTTTACTGATGAAGTATTGGAAACAAATTGCATTTTCTGTGCCTTGTGCAAGGATTTATTGCGGCCACCAATAATGTTAGTAGAAAATATAGGAAATGTGTGCTCAGTTTGTTTTATGGGAGAGAAAAGAAACAACCAGAAAAACTTAAATAATTCTGCTTTAGAAACCATAATAGCGATACTGAAACTTCCATGCAAATTTAAAGCGAAGGGTTGCAAAGCCAGACTAGGGTATGAAGACTTAATGTTGCACCAAAATAACTGCAAATACCGCACGAAGTTGTGCTCATTGTTTAAGATTTCTGGGTGTAACTGGGAAGGTAGTGCAGCCGACTTTGTTAACCATTTCAAAGAAATGCATGGAGATCATGTTATAAATTTTGAAAATAATTTGTTCTACTTGCAAACTTCGTTTAATGACTTGGATTTGGTGAAGTTATTAGTAATGAGAAGTCACACTTATATCCTGCACATGCAGACAGATTTATGCAAGAAAAAGTTATTTTATTTGATCTGTAATGTTAGAGACGACAGTGATGTTTTTTATGAATATTCCGTGAAGCACAAGGGAAGTAGCCACAACTACATAAAAACAAAGTCTAGAATACTCCCAGCTTCTAATATTTACAATGATTATATTGATGAAAGTGTAGCAGTTGAGGTGGACTTGGAGTCTTTGAGGCAAATTGCACAGGTTTCGGATACTATTACCAATATCTTTAAAATTAAAGTCGACAGTGCACAGCCTGATGGTATTGACGAAAAAATGTTACATTTCTTTGAGTGTCCCGTATGCAAGAATTTTATGAAACCACCTATTTACCAGTGCCAGTCAGGCCATAGCATTTGTAACATTTGCCGACCTCGACTTGAAAAATGCCCTACTTGTAGGTCCATGTTCGGAACAACAAGGAACTACTCTTTAGAGGGACTAACTTCCGGAGTTCAATATCCCTGTATTTACCACGATCTTGGTTGTTCTGAGATGTCTACAGCGAATAAAATCATCAAACATGAATCTGAATGTCCCTTTAAACCGTATACTTGTCCATTTCCCAATTGCACCTCTTCAGGAAATAAGCAAACCATCATAACACACCTCAGGGATTTTCATCCGGAAGGAGTTATTTTTTCTGGGACACCTGGATACACAGAAACTTTCCGCTTGGATCAGAACACATATTACAACAAAGTTGTCGAGAGGAAATGTGTGATCGCTTTCAACCACATTTTCCGACTGGCTTCTAAGAGAGTTTGTGAACATTGTCTGTGGGGTGCAGAAGTGATCGGCTGTACTAGCCAACTGAATAATTTTGTTTATGAGGTAGCTATAGTCGACATGCGTCGACCTGAGAAGAAACTAATCAAGACGGACTACTGTCTCAATGAGATGTCAGAAGAAGAGCTATTTAAACGATGCATTATGTTCCCTAACAATATACTAACTTCTTACTGCAATCATGGGATGGTAACGTTTCATTTTACAATAAAGCAAAAATAGTTATTCCTGACCGAAAATAATTGGCTACAAGGTATGTACCTTAATCAAAGTTTTTATATTTTTTTAAATAATTTGTTTTGATGAATTTAAGATATTTATTATATCCTGAATTTGGAAATAGGTTTTATGTAAAATTGTAATCTGTGATTCTTTAAATGTAATTGCAGCCACAAAATTTTAAATTAGCTCTCTTGTAAAAAAGTAGATTGAAAGGTGTTTGTTGAAAAGAAGCAAATTAAAATCCTTGTTTTCTTTTCAAGTACAAACATTTATTTTTCCATCTAGTTTCACCTTGGTAAGTCAGCCCATCGTCAAATAATATGAAAGTTTAATAAGGTTTTTACCTCGATTTTTACTAAGTGGTGAAAGCAGTGTACAATCTAATTTTTATTTATTTACAAATGTTTGAAAAAAAATACATTTTCAAACGTTTTGAAGTATTATACAGTCGTGTATCGGTGAATGAAAGTGATAGCCATATGTTGGGTTTAAAAATACCAAAGATGGATAACATGAGATGACCTTTTAGTTAATGACGCAATACCCATATTGTTAATGTCAATTTAAAGAGCCGCTTATTTCTTTAAGTCTGTTATTTTTAATTTTTACTAGTAAACTATATCACATTTATTTGCATCTTGTTACAATGATGGAAAATTACAGGTCTTATATTACACAAAAGGGCAAAAGTTTTTTTGTGCCTAAATTGCAAAAATAATTAAGCTTTGACTTATAGAGACGTAGGCATAAGTTTTTTTTTAATGGAACATCTTGTATATTTTTATATGATTGGTTAGAACATTTTCTTATGATAAAAGTGATATAAAGTTTGATGGGTCATCTCTAAGAGCAATATACAGGGTGTTCCTAAATAAGTGTCGCAACGGAAAACTGTAAATTCCTCTTGAAAAAAGAAACATTCTTTCCTCTTCCATTTTTCTCTCCGGGCTTTCGTTTTTGAGATACACGGTGTCAAAACTTTAATTTTTTTTTAGTTATTTTAGGAATCGTTTGAACTACAGGACTGAGCTTTTGTACACACATTACCATTATTAATAGCTACTTTTTCGCACCCTTCTTGAATTCATTGGAATTAGTGGTGGAGATTTTAAGGTATCGTAAGGGTTTTTCGCCCCCTAAATTTTACGCCACTGGAAAAATTGACTTTTGACAGCAAATTCTAAAGCGCCAATGAATTTTACACAATAAGAGTTCTCTTTGTTCATTGCTCTAAAGTCAACCGTTTTCAAGAAAAATGACTTTTTATGAACAAAAGCAAACATTTTGCTAACGTTTCGAAAATCTTTTGTAATTCAAAAAATAGGTAGTAATAATTAACAATTTTAACGAAATTTAACAACAGATAGGATTTTAACTTTTTTTTATCAATTTGGCGAGTAAAATTTACAGAAACTGTTCAAAATTACGTCCGTTGGCTTGAATGCACGCATTACATCTTCTAATCATGTTTCTTTCTGCCGCTGCGGCTTCACCTCTATCGGTCAACTTTTCGATAGTATTGACATGGAACGTTAGCAAAAATGTTTGCTTTTGTTCATAAAAAGTCATTTTTCTTGAAAACGGTTGACTTTAGAGCAATGAACCAAGAGAACTCTTATTGTGTAAAATTCATTGGCGCTTTAGAATTTGCTGTCAAAAGTCAATTTTTCCAGTGGCGTAAAATTTAGGGGGGGAAAAACCCTTACGATACCTTAAAATCTCCACCACTGGCACGTCCAATGAATTCGAGAAGGGTGCGAAAAAGTAGCTATTAATAGTGGTAATGTGTGTACAAAAGCTCAGTCCTGTAGTTCAAACGATTCCTAAGATATTGGCGAAAAACTAAAAAAAAATAAAGTTTTGACACCGTGTATCTCGAAAACGAAAGCCAGGAGAGAAAAATGGAAGAGGAAAAAAATGTTTCTTTATTCAAGAGGAATTTACAGTTTTCCGTTGCGACACTTATTTAGGAACACCCTGTAGATAGTTAATAGAGCCATAGGCATAATTTGTTAGAAAATGAAAAGATTCTGATGATACCATGATCTACAAGGGTTGTATGATAAGTACCTTAACAAAAAAACATTTTTATGTGTAAAATTAATTTTACTTTTCAGTTTGATACACTTAGTCCAGTTTTCATATCTTTTGTATCCTCGATAAAAAAAAATATGATTGCTCCAACTTTTCAAAATAAGTGTTCAATTCAGCATTGATCTCATCGTTAGAGCCAATTTTTTTTTTGTGGCACCATTATTTCATATTTGGAAATAGGAAATAATCGCTGGGTGTTAAATGTAACGAATATGGTGGTTGCAGAAGCAATTCATATCCTAACTCATGGAATTTTGCCATTGCGATGATGTAAATGTGCGCGCATGGTTGTCTTGATGGAAAACGATTTTTTCTTCAACTAGTGTTGCGAGAAACAACTACATCGCGGGCTATAGTGTAGATTCGCCTTGAAAATCCACTGTTCCAACAATTTTTGGTCCCTGACATGCTGTTATTGAATCCATGTTTCAAGTTATAAACTGACGCCAAAAATCATTCCGATTGCATTTTAACATCGCGAAACATTCTTTTGATATTGACGTGTGTATTTGTTGTCAGTTGTAAGCAATCATGGCACCCATCTTGTGGAAAGGTTTTTCATATCCAAATGAGTTGTTGAAATATTCTGCACATGTTCAATCTCACATACTTTCACTCTGAATTGAATCCAATATTTTATGGTTGATAACAAAGATGTAGGGTCTCCATAAACTTCGCTGAGCTCCGTTTTAATCTCATCATTTCAAATAATTATTTTATCACTGCTCAATATTAATTTTTTTCAAAATTACAAAAGTTTAAATGGCTGGCAATCAGAACATGAGCCATGCAGCGACTTAACAGTTTCACAGTATTGTTTTGAAAGGTTATATTTATGAAAAATGTAAGTTTTTAAATACTAGGCACCCTCGTAGGCACCTCTTGCCTAGGCCAGGTACTTATCATAAAGCCCTTGTATACAAGATGTTCTATTTAAAAAAAATGCATTAGTCTATATCTCTCTAACTCAGTTTTCAATTATATTCATTACTGAAGTTTTAGAATATCAAAAAAAAATTCTTACAATGTTTATTTTTCCACCTTTTTCAAATTCACAAAATAGTCAAGAAAACAAATTTGTCAGACTTAGGGTGAACTATACTCTCATTAATCCGGCACGATTAAAAACCTAAGAGTGCCGGAGTACTGGAAAATTCGAATTAATGGAATATGTATATGTAAGCAGTATTAAATTAAAAAATGTTACTTTGAATTGTTTATTAACAAAAGGATTGGTACATATATACATACATATTACATTTCTGTGTGCATATATATGTATATTGTAATAACTGTATAAACTGTATTCAAGAATAGTAGATAAACGCGACATGCATAGTAACAGGCGGAAAAAATAACGTTGAATTACTGGACATGCCGATGTAATGAAGTGCCGGATTATAGAGATTCTACTGTACATACTTCTTGAGTTGTGAATTTATAAGGTTCTTTTTGCAGGGTAACCATTTATTTTTCAGAATGCAAATCATTCCATTGAACAATAGTCAACATGAGGAGATAGAGCTTCATTTTAATCATGCATTTGTGTAGAAAAGACTGAGTGGAATTTTGTTTATAATGTTATATCTATTTTAATTATAAGGATGAGTTTTTTCTATTATAGTTTATATTTTGATATAGATGTTTTTAATTATTTTTAAAGAATTATAAGTTTATATGTATAAAACTAAATAAAAATTATTTGTATGATTTTCTTTACTTTTTTGTTAACATTTTGTATATTCATAAAAGGGGCTTTAAAAAGTTATTGGTAAAAATTTTTTTTTATAAAATTGGAAAAATACCAGAAATACCGAAAAATTTGTCACTTCTTATACAGGTTTTTTTTATATAGAGATACCAAAAATTTAGGCACTGATAGAACATCAAAAAATAATATTTCTTGAGGACTATGAGATACCTACTTTAAAATAAAATTTTAGTTGTATTTGCTAGAGGTCACTACACTAGTTACAATCTCTTCCATTGACATTTGGCATTTTTGAGATTAGGTTTCTTTTATTATATGTCACTTATTATAATCATACAGTTATTATAATGTATCATTAGAAAAAGCCTGTCATTTATTTGTTTGTCTGTCAACTTCTGTTTCTAAACAATGCAGCTGCTTTCCTATTGATCAGTTCAAATTGAGTATTGTAGCCACATGTTTAGGAAAAGTGTTACCTTAATTTTCTTCTGTCTCAAATAATATGAAGATAGATATATATTTCCTAGGATAATTGAATGATTGAATTGAATATGATGACAAAGAAATCTAATCAAATTAATTTTTTACTTATATGAGGGTTGTGTTTATATTTTGGGAATAGAAAACAAAAAAAGAAATTAATCATCGTATATAGCTTTATTGTTTTTCAAAATATTCTCCATGAAGATCAATACACTTCTGCATGCACTTGAACGAATTTATGAAGGACTTTCTCCATTCCGATCGACCGCTTTTTCAGGAGTCGGATAATTTATTTTTGATGTACGGTAATAAAAAGAAAGTCTTTGACATCAATTCGACTTTTTCAGTTTAAAAAAAGTGTGAGAGCTCTTATTGTCCTAGTGGAGAATGATGCATCTTCAGGGTCCGTTGCCCTTATTTTTCTGAAGACTGCTGGCAAACAAGTGGTGTACCATTCAGAATTGACTGTCTGACGTTACACTAATGAAACAGTTACATGTCTGGTTTTTCAAAAAAAATCAGGCGACAATTTGCTTAGAAGTGCTTTTGTTGGATTTGGCTCATTTCGAAAGACCCATGCTGCTGTTTACTTTGATATGTGTTTTGAAGCACAGCGATCGTATTTCTTGAAGATTTATTTTTTCAAGTCACTGTAAATAACACAAATAGCACCTATCCGTCAAAACGTTTTGAGTAAGTATACCAACAAAAATTCGATCATGAGGATAGTGACGTTGGTTGTCACATGGCAGCACCAGGATCGTCCATTCCCGAAGTATAAAAGGCAACCCTCATAAATATTTGCATAAATATTCACAATTTCAATTTTTTTTCCCCCTTTACATAAAACAAATTGATGGCATGAAAATGTTTACACAATGTATTCTCATCATCTTCCTAGTTTCTTCCCCTCATTTGATTGTTATATATATACGCTGTTACAAATTCACTTTTCACTACAGGGATCTCGAAAAGGGTAGGAGATACAAACTAGCTTAAATGGGGGCAAAGTTGCGTAATCAGGGGACCAACATTATACCTCTAAAAAATCAAGGCTAACTTAATTAGTTATTGAAATATTTGAAAAAAAAACGAAATTCTGGAAGTCAGTTTTTGTTTCATTTCAGCCTTGTTTGAGGTGATATTAAAAAAAGAACACTTTCTCATGGCCACTTTCAAACAAAATCAAAACATTACAATTTTAATTTTATTATGACAAATTAATTCATATGAACAACCAAAACACCAACTGAATTAAAAAATTTCAAATGATCAAAAACATTTCGTTTTGGTAAAGGTTGAAAATGAAGATCAGCGTAATATTATCGGAATTTATTATATCTGTAACCACAACTGTGAAAGAGCATGTCAGATGTATTTGTATGAATATCCTGAAAAAAATAGATCGGAATTTGTTTGAATTTTGAACATTCGAGAAGCCTAGAAATAACTATAGACACGGGAATAAAACTAATAATTTATTATTTTAATGCATGGTGGTAATAGTTTAAATAACTAGATGGATTTCACAGGGTCTAACGACACTTACAGTGTACGATAATTCAATAAACAAAGAAATCTATATGAAAAATTTAGATAAATTTGAAACGAATACACTGAAGATGAATTTTTCGAGACAAAACGTCTTGAGTCAGGAAGGCTTGCAAAAAAAGGAATAAAATTTCTAGGGTCGTATTTAAAAAATTAAGTTGATTATGGTCCTGGAGAGACAAAACGTTACATATAAAAATTGATTATGCCATTGGATAGAGGGCAAAAAGTGGCCATGAGAAAGTGTTCTTAAACAAAGTTTGTATCTCCTACCGTTTTCGAGATCCCTGTAGTAAGAAAGCTTGTAACAGCCTGTACGTCAAACAACTCATACATAGTTTATATTGTTGCGCCTGGTACATCATAATAACTACGATATAACCTAAAATTTCATTTCACATGAAAAAGGTACTTGTTGAATGTATTAAAAGCACAGTGTTTTTGAGTTGTCATTAAACAAATGGGTCAAATTTCAAAGATAACGTGTGATGAAAATAAACTGATTTAGATCTAGTTAACTTATTTGTACAATTTTGTTAAAAAATTACGCTAGTGTATTAGTTTTAAAAAATGGAATAAAAAAGAGTTTTTAAAACCAATTTTAAGAAAGAAAAATTATTGTACTAGGGAAGAATAAGCTATCCATGAGGTATGAACCATTCGCTTCAGGACACCCTTCAAGAATTTATGTTTTGATTAACTATGATACAGTGGATTTCGCATTTTTCAAAAAACGGCGCATTTTCAAAGATTTCAAAAAGAAATCCATTTTTTAAATGTATTTAAAATGATATTTAACATTGTACTAGGCACATCCACAAAATACTGAGACTGATGCTCTATAGTTTTTGTTTTCGACAAAGTTGGCAACACTGCATTCAAGGCCAAGGTGTTGGGAGCAGAACGCACCCTCATTTGTCTCAGTTTAGAACTGTCGTTCTAGTGGCATGTTGAAATGAGCGTCACTATTTCGAATCCCACCAGCTGCGAAGTGAAGAGCGTAATCTGGTTTCTCCTTGCGAAAGGAAAGGCACCGTTCCAGATTTTTAACAAAATTAAAACTTTTTATAGGGACGGTGTGATGAATGTTCATAATGAACAAATGAGTGGGCGTCACTCAATCGTGACTGAAGAGATGGAGAACAAGATCCAAGAAATGGTTTGTAGCGACAGTCAATTGACTTCGGACGAGATGAACGTGGTGTTTCCACAAATCTCCAGGTCTCTTCTGCATATATGTTAACGAAACGAGCGTGCTTGTTGCATGACAATGCACGTCCTCACACAGCCAACACCACAAAGCAACTCTTGGATTCATTCGGTTGGAACATCATCAACCAGCCCGCTCACAGACCTGACCTGGCACCTTCCGATTTCTATATTTTCTCTTGGTGTTTATGGGTGGAAAAAGGTTTTCTACCGATGATGATATCCAGTGCCATACCGTCAAACTATGGGTCCAAGAGGCGACAGGCAATTTTTTTTATGAAGGTATCAGAAAGCTCATCCCTCGACTCACAAAATGCATTGAGATTGAAGGCGACTACTTTGAAAAAAAGGTTTTCATGCACCTTTCTGAATATATAAATTTTTCATAAATATGTTACCGTTTCAATTTAAAAAAAATTCAGTACCCCTGTTTTGTGGATATGCCATGTAATATATGACATCTGGTCATTTAGAACTCTCAAAAACTTATTTGTACCAGATTTCAACACATTGTTGTTTATTTGGAAAATATGTCAAAATTTAATTTTAATAAAGTATCTTTCGACGCCCAGTATGTCAAATAAAAAGAGCAATAGGCCCATGGTCCAGATGGTAGCATCTTATGTTTATATTCTACATTAGTTCCTGAATTTGTGGTACGTTTTAACAAGACACAAAACATCCTGTATATTTTATTCTAAGATCAAATAATCTGAAATTTAAATTTTAGTATTTTACTATACTCACGTCTAGATATCTGTATAGAGCAATTGAGTCATTGGTTCGGTTGCCTCCATGGTGCTTCTTATAGAACCAGTCAAAATTTACACCATATTCTTTTAGACTGGGAGCATTGAGATGCTCTTCTCTAGTAGTTTTTTGTCGTATTAACTCAATACTAAAAAATACAATAATTTTTAAGAAAATAAATATGAATATGTAGGTACTTATATTTAAAATTAAAATTTCAAATCTATTAGGTAATCATTTATTTTTATTTGTGAAAACTCTTTTGATAATGAAACCCTTACCGTTTTTTGTAGGGGATGAATTTTATGCTCACATAAAGAACTTTTACAGTGAAAATAATTCGAATCAAGTTCTCAAAAAAAGTTGTATATACAGGGTGTTTGGGTGGTGTGAAAAGAAATTTTTCGAATTTTTTTTTCCTTTGAAATATCGAGCAAATAATATTATTTTTTAATGAATTCGACATTTTTTAAGAAAAATTTCTATTTCTTTTTTGGAATTCTGCGTAGTCTAGTCATAAATAATGATTTTTTAAATAATGTATGGTTCAGAAAAGTAACATTTTCACATAGTAGGCATCTTTCATAGCGACAGTTTCATTGTAATAATACTAATGATTGTCACTTACGTGTGCTATGATTTAAATTCTTATGTTTCTTTATTTTCTTAGTTGTGATCTTTGTGCTCAACTTCGCATTTCATTAGATTTTTTTACAACCATGCTTTTACTAACCGTGAATATGCCGATACTCTCTGAGCTGTCAGACTATTTCCATTACAGAAACCATAAATGAAATGCATATCGGTATTCGCAGTTAGTAAAAGCATGATGGTTCATGGTTGTAAAAAAATCGAATGAAATGCAAAGTTGAGCACAAAGATCACAACTAAGAAAATAAAGAAACATAAGAATTTAAATTATAGCACGTGAAAGTGACAATCATTAGTATCAATACAGAGAAATTGTCACTATAAAAGACGCCTACTATGTGAAAATGTTAATAAAAGTTACTGTTTAGAGCCATACATTATTTAAAAAATAATTATTTATAAAAGTAGGGACATTTTTTCCACAAAAAAGTCCAATTCATTAAAAAATAATATTATTTGCTTGATAATTCAAAGGAATAAAAAACAATCCTTATTTATAACCGATTTTGATGAAACTTATGGTAGTTAAAGACCCTTATGGTATAATTATTACCTATAATTTTCATTCCGTTATCTTAATCAGAAAGAAAGTTATTTTAAAAAATATCCAAATGATAAGACCCCTTTGGAGGGCCATATCTCAGTAACAGTGCTCCGGAGTACCAATGTTTATAGGAACTTTTTTTTACTATTTTTAGCTCTATTTTCACCTCCTTAAATTTTGTACCAACTTTTCCAAACATCCTGTATAGTGTTTCATTTCAAATGAATTCAGAACTATGTATTCCCAAGGGAGACAGAAAAATGTTCTTGACTGTTGTTTAATGGCCATCTTTGCACTAATTTGCACTATAGCGTGTGTAGTTTCAATCAAATTATGACCTTATCAGAATGAAAAAACCAAATAGACGACAAGTATAGAGTAATATCAACAAGGGCCATGGACTAAACTTTGTTAATAGTAATGAAGCATTTTCTGATTAAAGTAAATACATTAAATATTAGAAAAATGAGAAAACTTTTCCCTAGAGGGGCCCCCTACAGAGATACAGGCACCTAAAGGACATCTCTGATGAAAATCGATTTATTTTAAAGTTTTAAAATACTTTGTATAATTTAATTATTTTTTAATACGATGGACAGGAGAAGGTCCAACGGTCTTCAATTCACAGAGTTAGGGACTGCATAACATTAGAAGGAGCATGTAAAATTATGTAATAAAAATCATATTGAACAAAAATAGTTTTTTTCTCGAAAACAGTTAATTTTTTCGATATCAAAGAAGAGTGCCTTTTTTAGTTTAAGGTTCAAACTATCTAAAAATATTATTTTTGTGCCTTTATCGTAAATGGTGAAAAAAAAATTGACATTATTATGCTACAGTTAACCGGCAAACCAAATAAGTGAACTTGTTTTCATGGGACAATTTTTATGGTGTTTTATCTGTTGTCCATCATATTAAAAAATAATTAAATTACACAAAGTAAAGGGGCGCCCTTTAGAGGCCTGTATCTCCGTAGGGGTCGCCTTTCATGAAAAATTTTTATAGAAACATGTCATGTTATTTTAAGGTCCTCTGAATAAAACCGAGAGATTGCCCACATATTCTGGGACACCCGGTATAGGTAATAATATCTTACGGGTAGATGAATATTTTTTGTTTATCTGGATGGAGATTATCGTTATAATTGGAGTTTATTTATTTACAGCAGCGACAGGATATAACAGACTTTGAAACAAGCAATAAAAAAGCAACACCTTCCTATTTTATTTACTGCAGTAATTAAACATAAGTAAAATAAAATAAATGTAACTCTTATGATTTAACTGGAGTAAATTTTAACCCTACTAACTTTGCCGATTACTATATAAACTTTGAAACCAGAATACTGTACTTATATATATATATATATATATATATATTGTTATAAACAGATTATTTCTGTGTATCCAGTACCAATAATGAGAAATAAATATAGTTTTCAAAGCAATGAAACTATTGAAAATTATGAAATTTTGAATACATAGGTATAGTAACTCTCGATGTGAAACATTAGGTACCTATTTTATAGGAAAAATATTGTAATTTAGTATTTGGGATATTTTACTATTACATTTTGAAAATAAGCCAACTATTATGCTGATACTAAGTATATATATCTCAAAGAAACTTCTCAATATTTATAATTTTATATTTTAAGGAAATATATTACTCGCTAATGTTACTTTATTCTTATAGGTCATATTGTTTTTCATTCAGGTAACGTAATAGTTTGATCGAGACACTATAATGCCAATTAATGCACAAAGGCACTCTAAACGTCTTTAAACAAAAGCTTATTTTTTTTCTCTGTCCCTTATTAAGGAAGTTATGAGTCTGTATTCATTTGAAGTGATATTTTTCAACTAACAGATATAATGAGATGCTTTAATTTCCATTAAATTTTATCTGTAGTTATGCTTATTTAAATTTTAATTTGATGCCTACTATTTTTGAAACTTTCATAACAGTGAAATTTTAAGAAAAATTAAATTTTTCTGAAAAATAAGAAAAGGTGTTTTTATATTTATCAGTTAATTATGAAAAAATAAATCATTTTGTATATATTTGTGCCACTTTCTTCGAGATCTCAGTTGTTCAAATTTTTGTTGTCATGAAAAAACGAAATCCTCTAAAAAAGTATGCGTCTTAGTCTTCATTTTTCAGCAATCACCATACATTAAGTTTCTGTAACAAATAAATCTAATCTACAATTTTTTTTACATGCGATTTGGAATCGATTCCAAGAAATGCCAAGTTAAAATTATCATGTTCGCATATGGTACACAGCTTGATGTGAAATCTGATTAGCAGGCAGCTAGAGGAATTTAATAAAAATAAATAGGGTCTTTAAGACATGTTGATGCAATGTGACTTCTTTTCTTAACGACGTTGATAAAAAAGAAGAAAATGTACTCAAGCCAAGAGGATGAGTTTTTATTTGGAAAATATTAAATCCAGTAAATGCATTATTTGCTCAAATTTAGTCATCATTTAAAACACACAAAGTTTAACTGATAAAAGCGTATTTAATTATAATGAAAAGGGTTATATGATTCATTATTTAATTAGAAAGGGTGTTCGGTAGCCAATGTGGGCACTTACAACTTGGACTATAATAAACTGATTTCAATATACTGCCGTAGTTACTGTAACAATTTCTAATTTAATTAAACTTATTCTTTGACTATGTTAGGTACATATTTTTAATAGCTATATCAATTTCTAGTGATATAAACCACATAATGTTATTTCAGTGAATGGGGAATAACAATCCAAGGGTTCTATCATTAATATTAGCATTTAAATAGAAGTAATCTAAATCATAAAAAAAGTATTTGATACAGCTGCAAATTTAGCAACAAATCAAGTTTCAACATTAGACTAGAATTCCACCAAAGTGTTAGCTGTCCACAATTGGAACAATGTATAATGACATGCATCTTCTATACAGCAAATAAAGTGAGGTATATTTATTAACTAAAATTTTAAAAGGCTGATTTGGGTATTTTTAGCGGTCTCTACATAATACGTGAGATGCCTATGTCCATTACTCTCACCTACCCTAAAAATCTTATATTAAATGTTATGAAATATATTAAAGAGAGGCTGAGCAATCTTAAAAAAAATTAAAATAAATTGATCTAAATCTGTTTATATCCATTCAAGGAAGCTTACTGTTAAAGTACGGCTTATTTCCTTTCGAACACCCTGCAAATTTTACTACTTCAAGTAATGCGAAAATATTGCTGAGCTCATCTAAAATTAAAGTGCGTGTAAACGTAAACAAATGCAAGCTTAAGATGTTACCTATACTATAATACTAAGCTTCCTCATAGATGAAAGAATTTAATTTTTTATTTTAATTGAAAACTAGAATCATGAAATGTCGAAAAAAGACATAGGTAACAGAAATTTATTGTCTATCAGTATTATTTTATTACCTATCTAAAATAGGTATATAGAATAAGTATAGGTATAAATAAAAATATAGTCAACTACTCCAATAAAACTTACTATAACAACTTATGAATCACACATTAATATATTGATATAGGTTACAATTTTTTTGTACTTCTGAAATAATTATAATTACACATAATAAAATATAAGAAAACTACAAAATGTTAGGTTAGGTAATTTTTTGCAGAATGAGAAATTAAATTAAAATGCCTACTTAAAACAGTTTTACATTAGTTACTAGATAAAAAAAGATTTGGAATACTTTATATTATGTATTACCTATATCTAATCAATTTATATACTTACCGAAGGGTCCCATTTTTTATTTCCAAAGATAATGTAGGACACAATGCCGCAGTCAAAATCACAAAGAAAATGATAAAATAATTCATTTCCAGTTTTTTTCTTTTGAACTTAACTTCGTGGTAATGTATAATCAAATGATTTGTAATTCGATACTGTATTCAAATTTAAACTTAAATAGAACTATGTAATTCCCACAAACATAAACTCATATCGCGGGAATCACCGAAGGCATCGAAGGTTATACGAATTTTACCGATCGATTGTCGACCGTTAAAAATTCTTATTTGATAATAAATAATCAATGACACATCAATGTAAGTACCTACAACAGACATACACTGGATAGTAGACAGTGATAGGTCTGTTGATAGAATTGAGTCAATAACTACATTGTATATTCACCGGCAAAATACCCCAACTTTTTGTAATGCCAAAATAAGCTTTTATGTAGTTATGTACATTTATGATATGGGATGGATGGAACCACAAAAACAGGATACAAACAATTTTTCCTGATAAGATTAGAAACTTAAAAATAACAGATAACAATATCGTCTATTTGTCCATACTGAAGGCAAATAAAGGAGATAAAACTATGAAGGGTGTACCTAAAATTTTATTTAGAGTATCTCCCCCATAACTCTTTTCAAATAGATATATTTCTTTATAATGCATTCATACAAGTTCTTGTCAAAAGTGTAATATGTATATGTAATAAATTTAGTAGGTACCTACATACATTATTTCAAAAAGTGATGGTATCGTTGTTCGTTTAAACTTGCCCTAAACAGCTTGGTTTTTGAGACTCCAAACTGTTTATGCTACTATTTTTTTGAACTTGGTAATAAAATTTTATTTAAAATTGTAACAAAAAAGAACTTTTTTTAGATAAAAAAAAGTATCTCGGAAAGAATCCCGTTGTCTGAATAAAATAAGAGATCTTTTTTCTTTAAAATACAATGAGAAATAAAATACATACGTACTGAATTTGCGAAATACTATAAACAGACTTAATGACCGGTTAAGATGGGAGTCCACAGTAGGATTGTTTAAATCTCAAATTTTTGCTATATTTTTTCGAAAAAAAAAAATTAAATACGTTGAAATTTGGTGTAGGTAAATTTTTGTGGAATCCGGTATTTACCGGAGCATTATTTTGACCATCTGCTAGTAAAGGACCTCTGAGGTCCCTATAGAAAGTTATATATAGCTACGACCTTACCCAATGACATTCTGTACAGCTTTTTCTACTTGATCCTTATTGGCTGTAAATAAACCAATTAGATTTTAGTAGAAACTTGCTTCCATAATGCTTATGTTAGAGTCAATATAAATTAATGGAATAAAAAAAATGTCGAGTATTAATAACTTAAGAAGCAAAATTAATGGTAACTTGATCTAAATCGGTTTATTTCCGTCCAAGGAAGTTATCCTTGAAATATGAGCTTTCGTTTTCGAACACCCTGTATATTAAGAACAAATGCTAGTTAACTGCTGTAGAACAATAAAGCAGAGAACGCATTAGGCCGGTGTCCCATGCATCCGAATTCCGATGTACGATATCCGAAAATATTTTAATTCATACGAATGGTAATATTATAATTCACATGCATCCGAAATTAATCTCATAGAAATCAAGTATAGAACCATGGAATTTATTACAAGATGAAGGTGAAACATTTTTAAATGACAACCATAGGTATATATTATAGAAAATATACGTAGTATTATATTTTCTACATTCGACATTATAATATAACATTTATTTGACTGTAAATATATCAAACAACAATCATAGTATGTTAAAAACTTAAAAAGTGAGGTTAAAAAACATACGCTTTCGGATCAAAGTTAAAATTATTTCTACTTTTTCCGACATCCTATGAATTTTAAAAATTTCGGATGAAAATGAGCGGTAAAAATTTGAATGTATATTAACCAATAGGAACACTTTTGGACCTTCGTATCGTCGGAATTCGGATTCATGGGACACCGCCATTATTCCATGGCTAGAAATTGGCCTCAATGATTTGGGATCGAGGGGGATTATCCCTCTTTATCCTGCCTCATCTCGTGTAGGCCTGGACAGCCTTCGTAGGTGGGCCCCATCCGTCGTCTACCCCGACCGCAAATGCGGCCGGTGTAGGCGCTTTGTGGGACCTCCTTTTGTCCTGGCTGGGCCCCGCCGGCTAGGGCCCTTTCTTCTGGCGCTCTTCTTGCTTCGCCGGCTCGTCTGTGTAAACCCCGGGGGTAGTGTCATGTTTATGTGTGGTATGGTTGGGTAGGGTAGTGCGGCTATGCAGCCTGGGATGCGCTTTGCTAAGGTGGCCCTTAGGCTAGCGCGGGAGGGGAGGGGTAAGGAGGGTATGGGGTGTGTGTATGTGTGTGTGTGTGTCGTTGTCTTCGTTTCTTGATCCTGGCGGTCTCTGAAACAGAAAAGGTTAGCGGGAAGGGGGGGGATGTCGTTGGGGTGGTCACCCAGGGTCAAAAAGTTGGTGTCTAGGTCTTTTGTGTTTGTCGGTCGAACTTACTACTGTTCTCTTTATACTGTGGTATCCATAGACCTTACGTGGTATCATGATATATATCTGTTCTGTGTTCTGTGTTATCACTGATAGTATCGGGCTGTGGTATGGTAATTATGGTATATAAAAAAAATAATAAAATATTTTATAGGTTATAAATATAAAGTTGTGTTTGTGTACAATATATCCGAGCTTAAAAATTAAGGATTCGATACATAACACACAGCCATGAGAATAACAAATATTTTATTTTCTAAAGTGGGAAAATGGTCTAAACAGTTTTCAAATTTACCAGATAGGTATATAGAACGTGCTATGGAACAGGTATATTGGAGAAATCCTACGGGAATGCAGTATAAACCAAATGCAGTTGTAAAACGCAAAAAATTTCATTTCACAATGAATAGACCCTGGACAGCAGAATTTCGGCAAGATAATGCACCTGGCAAGTTGAGTCCGAAGGTATTTGTTGAACCGATTAGGGAGTGGAGCTTCTTCAGGGGAGATCGTGTGGAAATATTAGTAGGTATGCGTTTTTAATAAAAACTGTAAATAATATATCTATTAGTTAAATTTTACCTGTAGAGTTTGAAATTGAAATGTAACAAGAAATTATTTTATAGGTAAAGATAAAGGCAAACAAGGCATAGTTAAACAGATAATACAAGAGAGAAATTGGGTTATTGTTGAAGGCCTGAACTGCGAATTGAAACAACTTGGAGACGATAAAGAGTTTTCTGGAGTCTATGTCCAATCGGAAAAACCTTTGTTAGTAACCAATGAAGTACGTTTAGTAGATCCATCAGACTTAACAGGAACATCCATTGAATGGCGATTCACAGAAGACGGACAAAGAGTAAGAGTGTCTACTAGAACAGGGAGAATTATACCTATGCCAGCATCTGCTGAAGAAACCATCGATTATAAAACTAAAGCTACATATAAGGAACAACCTAAAGACACTACTGCTGCTGCTGTTAGCGAAATTACCTTCGAACCCCGGCTGTGTACATTTGAAATGGACATTATGGAAAAAATGAACATCAAAGAAGATAGGGTACCACCAAAATCATATTGGTATTAGTTAATTTCCTTCTCATATAGATGTAGAATGTAGATTTATTTTAAAGCAAAAGTTGACCTTTATAAAATTTTTGAAGCTATAATAATAATGTGTGAATCGACTGTATTTGTTCTTTATACAGGTCAATTTTTAAATTAAGTCATATTTTTTAAAGCATGTAAAAGTCGTTAAAGTAACATTTTTGTCATATGCATCAAAATAAAAAACTTACTGATTAATTTCCAAAACATTAATTCTGGTTCTTATTCTATTAATCTTCTCACAGAGAAGGTAAGGTAATCAGATTTTTGTAATTTTGGTTCGACTCGTCGCGTGATATTTTTTTTTCAAAACACCATATGATTTTTTTATTCTTTTCTTTTTTTCATCTCGAAAATTATGAACAAACGAAATATTATATATATATATATATATATATGTTTCAAATATTTCATTAAAATGCGCAAACAATATTTATTACGAATTAACAATGAGGTTTCTTTAAAAAAACAAACGAGGTCAGGTAGGATGTTTTTTAATTTTATTTTTAGTATTTGACATTTTACGCAGTGTGGCATAAGCCAGTTATCATAGAAACATGGGAAGCAGAAATTTTTTAAGCATCTAGCACGTCTTGTAAATGATATGTTTTACAGGCGCATTTTGTATTCAAAATATCGACGTTGAAGCAAATTTCGTTAACATTTTGAATGATTTTTCTTTCATGACACAGTTTCAATGCTTCTCTACCCTTTGTGGAATTTACCGAAACTTTTTATGCCCAAGCAAGTGTGTTTTGTAAGCGGTTTTTTTAAACACAGTGGACGACCCACACAACCTAGCTCAAAATTTTAATCAAACACGAAGAATGTTCCTATATACAGTTCTTATAATATTTCGTTTGTTCATAATTTTCGAGATAAGAAAAAGAAAGCTAGACGCTTATTAATTTCTGCTTCACATGTTTCTATGATAACTACCATTCTGGCTCGTGCCACACTGCATAAAATGTCAAATACTAACACAAATATAAAATAAAAGAACATCCTACCTCATCTTGTTTTTTTTTTTAATGAAACCTTATTGTTAATTCATAATAAATATTGTTTATCAACCAATTGTGTATTTTAATGAAATATTTGAAGAATATTCCTACATATACGTAAGTAGTTATTATAATATTTCGTTTGTTCATAATTTTTGAGATGAGAAAAAGAATTTAAAAACGTATGGTGCGTTTTGAATAAAAAAAGTCACGCGACGGACTCGAACCAGCAATCTCATGACTGTCAGACCCAAACGCTACCAATTAGGCCACGCTCTCAGTTGAAGAATGTCTCGCAACTAGTGGATTTGTCTGGCAGGTAAAACTTCAAAATCGAGTATCTCGGTAATTTATGAACGTTGCATCGAACTACTTCGGAAAATTCTTTTTCAAGTTCCAAACTACACGTACTGTAAACATCAAAAATGACAAAAATCCAATTACCTTACTTTCTCCTTGTCAGTACTTAGAAACTGTTTTAAGATGGATTTCTTTGATATAAAATGATACTGAATTAATTTCTTTTGATAATAATTTCAAAATAACAGCAATAGATACATTCTATTTCTTCTGAATTTATTTAATATTAAATATAAATACACTTGTAATAAAATTTGTTGCACAATTAAAACATGTAAATAGAGTCTTTTTTCTATTTGTAGATATATCAAGTTTCTTGTAACAATCATAAGGAAATTTCAGATTTTTTATTTTTAATTACAAATAATCTACTACAGGATAGGGAATACCTAATAATCTAACATATTTGCATGTATGTACTCATAAAATAAAATAAAAACAAGATAATTATTGTACAATCAGATAAGTTTTGCAATTATGCAGTACAGATAACTATAAAAGTAAGTATTGTGAAATTTACGAAATAAGCTGCAACAAGTCAAATTTTAAAAGGAGTGTATAAAAAGGAAAATGAGTGCAAGCTTAGGGGTCATCCATAAATTACGTCACACGTAAATGGGGAGGGAGGGTATCACCGAAATGTGACGATGTGTGGCAAGGGGCAGGGGGGGTCAAAAATTTTGTGACGTCACATGTTAAAATTTAAAATACTAAAACGCGAAATTTAGATGTGAATAAAAAAGTATAAAAATCTACGAACTTGATCTATATTTATTAATAATTCAGCATTCTCGCTATGAGATTATCTCTCATGCAACATTAAAAAATGAAAATAGCGTTTTCTCTCGATTATTTTTAAATACATGCCTAAATTTAAAAAATGTGTGACGTCACATCAGGAGGGGGGGATTATAAAAATGTGACAACCTGTGACAAGGACGGGGGGAGGGGTTCAAAAATCCTAAAATTCGTGTGACGTAATTTATGGATGGCCCCTTATTATGATAGTAGAAAAAGAAATAAAACGATATGTAACATGAGATGTAAAGTTTAATGTGTAGGTAACATTCGACTGAGATTCAAACTCGGATTCAGAACTGTTCCCTTTAGTCTTATATTCAAATATTTCCTCCTTACTAGTAACTATTGTAAAGTTATAGTGGTAATATTTGAAGTGAAGGGAGATGTTACCTGTAACTGTGACGATATAATGTGCAATAACAGTTACAGTTGATTTAAGAATGCTATTTTGCTAGCTTTTTAGTGGTCTACAAAACTCTTTAGTAAATAACAATGTGATTCCATACCACGAAACAAATATACACAATTTACAATGATATCCTATACATTATATATGAAAATATTCTAATTGTTGCTAATAAATATCGGTGTTTATACTATTTCACAATGTTATGTACTTAAAACTATCACTTATAAACACATTCATTTGTATGTAATAAAATATTCACTTTGAAATATTCTCTATCACCAATTTTTCTGCATTATAGAGCTGGCCTATTATAACCTGCAACAAAACAATGTTAATTGATCGGTAATAGTTTGTATTAATAAATTATTGTTAACGTGTATTGTATATTTTGTATTATTACATAACAACTTATGGAAAGTGTTTCAAACAGCTATTATCAAATTCTCCTTTGGGATTAGTCCAGTGATCTCTTTATTTTATTCTAAACAACATAACCTATAATCAATTAATATTCATGCAAATGCAAATACCATTTTACTTACTTGTCTTTTAATTATCTCTAAATTCCTTTTCGCTTCTTTTATTTGATTTTCTATTAGACTTGGGTCTGTTAAGTTTTTATTCTCCCTAAAACCGACATGAACCCTCCTGATTGCATATTCTCTAAAAAAGAAAATATTTGAATTAAAACTGCTTTTTTACAAAATTAATATGTACCTAAAATTATAAGCAGGAAATTTCTGGGACTCTCTAAGCATTGTTTTGTATAACTTCAGTATCTTTTGCCTCGAAGTCATAATTATCATTTCTTTTCTTTATACTTTTTGGTTATGTTACAAAATTTCTATATTGATTAAACACCAATGGCAATCGTTTTATACGGTACATGACATGCCATGCCATGTGAGGTTGTATATCAGACTGTGTTCTTCTTCTTCTTCAATGGAGGTACTAGTAGATATGTGAAGTTTTGAACCGAATTTTCTTCATATAAAACGGGTATTTTTTTTAATATACTCATTTGTATAAAACCCTGAAACCCTACAAACTTATGTTCATGAATATAATCTACAGAGTCTTCATAAATGATTACAAGCCACGTGACCAATAATTTTGTTTGGAATAGTAATTTTATTTCCTTCATGTTAGCAATTAAATTTCAGTAAAATAAAAAATATTAAAACAATAAGATAAAGACACAACATTATGTTTCGCCAGCTATTACTGGTGTAAATTTTCACGAGACTCTATTCAACCAATCAGCGATCGCATTATCTCTGGCGCAGGCATAACGGTTTGTCATTGTTCATTGTAAACGAATCATTAATATTGGTTATAAAGACGTGTATCGATTAATAAGGTCTGTAAGTCTGGTTTAATTTTTTTCAAAATCCTCTATCTCGGAAACAATTGAGTTTTCTATACATACGTTAATATAATAAAATCAATTTATTTTCAATAGTTTTAGGTGATAAATAGATAAAAACTGTTACATTCTGTATAATACTGGATTTAAATTTGTGTTACAAGAATTTTGAGAAAATACAAAAATTAAAAAATATATGTATATAATAAATATTCAAGTTATTCATTTGGTAATTAACGAAACATTTTTTTAAGGATAAATAAATGAATACAAGTTTCAAGTTTCTATGGTTGTGACTAATACAACTTAATAAATTATGCTTTATCAGAAATTCCACATGCGAAAACATACATGAATTGTTGTATTTTGAATAATACGTGCAAAATCGATGGAGTTGTTTAATTTTGCTCCATAAAAGGATTGGATATCTATTTGTCATTAAGGATTTGTTGCGTTTTGCAGCAAAATGTGAATTCCAGGACTTTAGAAAACAACAATGTATTGCCCTTTGATGAAAACTTACATATTGTATTCAGCCTTTACTACTGAAACGAATCATCAATGTAAATTCATTTCATTTTGCAATAATGTAGTTCTCAATAAGCTTAAAAAAAGCTTTCAATTTTATCTAGTGTCGAAGGTTTGAATGAATTTATAACAAATTATTACAATTAGATTTACTTACAAAAACTCACAAACATCAACTGTATAGGTCCTGTGCTGCTTCAATTTTTTTTCTTATAAAAAACGCTGATTTTCAACATCTGCAATAAAGTTCTTCCAACCGGTAACATTTTTAATGGTGGTTCGTCAACAGATTCGCTGTATGGCACGATTTTGAGACATTGTTAAATTACAAACTATAAATAGCAGCTATAATACGTAATTGCGTGCATTTTCATTCTCATCGGTGGAACCCATTATTATTCGAGACATTCATTGCGTCGCTCATTAAGTGGTAATTTTTTTGATAATGAAACATGCAACTCATACTGTATTTGAGGGGACGACTTACGTATGATTTATATGTTGACACGCAATAAAAAAATTACGCTGAAATTTACGAAATAAAGAAATAAAAAATTAAAATCTCGAAAAGTGTTGCACGTAGGTACATAATATAAATACATACATATTTTTAATTTATAATCAACTGATAGACACAAACTGGTGGTTTTTTATTTTCCTCAAAATTTCAATTTTACTTCTCAAACATCCGAAATTTTTTCGTCATGAAAGTTCTTTATATTGGCCTAGGAATTGTTTTCAAAAACATGGTATGGGGTCAATCTCAAGTGCATGCCCAGTGGATTCCAGCTTAGACTCTTCGTGTGACCAAATTTAATGTAGCGGTGCTTGGGCATGCACTTGAGATTGACCCATGCCATTTTTTATTATTATTTTATTATTTACGTAAATAATGATTTTTTTTTCTAAAGCGACTTCAAGGGTTCAACGATCTCTCAAAGACCGAGCGCAGAACACAACTTTTTATCAAGAGCCACCGAAAATATGGACTTCAAATTTAGTACAGTCCAAATTTTTCACAGTAGCTTTCTACGTAAAATTTTATCCTGATGTAAAGGGTTTCTACTGTAAAAAACGATATTTTTTTGCAAATTTGGATAAGCCATAAGTTTCGATTATCTCTCTTCCTCTCCGTTTGTTGAAACTTATTACTTTGGTCTATTTGTCGAAATTCGGAAATTTGACTATACAAAGCTATGGGGTTACAGAGTCTCTAGGGCTATGGAGTTACATAGCCATGGTCTTATAATTTTCCTGCGTCGAAATTCTGTCCCCAGAGCTATGGGGTCATGGAGTCTGCAGTATTCGATCGCCAGGCTCATGGTGTCATAGAATCTCCCCATCCGCCATTTTGATTTAGACTCACCATCTTGAATTTCGAGAGTATATTTGAATCCAATGACCTCGACAATCTCAGAATTGCTTATGACAGAAAAGTGCCATGAATAATTCTTTTCGGCCTGAGGGCTAAAGAATAAGTGTTATAGTCACCGTAATTTGAAAAGGTTATGAATTTTTTCATTTAAAGGGAGGAGTATAAATTTGAGAAGCCTTAACAAGTTTTGTGGGGGTCCGAGATCGGGTGTCGAATGCGTTTAATTCCAAGAAAGTGAAGCAGGGGGTCTTCTTGGAATTCTACCTCAACAAATATCGAATGGACTGTTGTTTTCCTGTTACAACAATTCTCCAAACTTTTGCTGACATACTATAGTAACCTTAAGGGTCAATTTTCTTTCACACACCTTTCGAAAAGTCAGGTAACTTGAATTCTGCACAGCTTGCCATTCCACGTATAGTTTTCCAAACCCAATCACGGAAAAATCAGTTATTTGCGCACCGAATCAAAGGAATAAATTAAGTTTAAGAGGTGAGTTTTAAAATTCATGGGGCGGTACATTCTCTAGAAATATACGTATTCAGGCCGGGGGGTCTATTTGGTGGGCGAGGCGGTGGCGAATTATTCTTTCATGTTTGCATAATTCCGGACGCGTTTTGTTTGCGAATGAAATGTCGGGCGCGCGGTGTGAGATGGCCCGCGGCCGCTTGTTAGTATGCTGACGTCGTAGATGAGATGGCACCCAGCGTTTGTTCCCGTCCTCTTCAGACGGACGAGCGGGATACATTAGCGGCTGTGGAGGGACTAGTGCACTCATCGGCTTAATTAGTGCATTAAATTCACGCGCGATTTTCATGAAACAAACAATACTCATTCTACCCAATTATTTTAATCAAAATCTAAAAATATTATTACCAGAACATGTTCTGGCTATGTTACTTTTATGTGCTATTATCAGTTCATTTAGTTTTAAATCTACAACAACATTTTTACAGTACAACTTAGCTTTAGTTCAAAAACGTCGCCCATGTTTCCAATTCAAAGTCAGAAAACACATCCAGATCCCAGAACAGTTCAACAAAGAATTCGACATCGTTGCTAAAAGTCGAGAACTATCGATAGTCAGCACCATCGATAGTCAATTATCGATAGTCAACGATCAAGCGATCGATACCTAACTGTCAATAGTTCTTCGATAGTGGAAATTCATCATAGAATAAACTAAAAGCACTAATTTAGCGCCACATCTTGGCAGCACTGTTACAAATTGCAATCGCAGACAAGAGACTACATATTACAAATACAATCAACGATCCTTAGAAATGTAAACACTAAACATTACATTACAACAGGAACAAGGAACGGAACGCGGAACAGGAAGCAAGTAGTGTCAAGTCAAAAGTGTCAAAACGAATAATAGTTTGCTAACTTGAACTGAAATTAACTACTTCCGCGCAACAATTTTAAAACTGCTAGTAGTTGTACCATACATAGATGCTAGAGATGGCACAGTGTTGCATTATTTAGTCACTATCGAGAAACTATCGATAATTGCAGAAAACAATCGATCTCGACCTCTAATCGTTGCATATGTCTCAGAACATGGAGCCAGTGTGATACCTACACCCTACATCTACAGTATATTGACTGGAAGTGGAAAAAATACTGACCTTTCGAGTCCTACCGCCGAGTCTACAGAGCCACCAATCGGTTTCAACATCCAAGACAAAATCAGACGATACCAACAGAGCCTGATGCTGTTCGCAGAGTGACAGGTGAAGACCGCATGGGGCGCCCGTGAAAAGTACTCCGGAAATTCGAGCAGCTGGAGACCACTAAACCACCTATTAGAAATTAAAAAGAGCAACCAAAGATCACCTAAATCCAGAGTATGTCTGTTGCAGTATGTTTGAAGACAGGTCTATAAAAATGGAAGATATTACCAGACATTTAATAAAATCGCATGGAATAACTTTTTTCAATGGTAGCCTTCGCCAAAGACTTCGACATGGTGACATCTATGAGAAAGATCGCTTAAGCCAGCGGTATTGAAACTGTGTTCCGCGGAACCCTAGGGTTCCCTACATATCTGGGAATTCCGCGACTCAGTCAAAAATTAAAAATCCATATCGATACTACAAAATTAAAAAAAAATTATACTCTTAAAACTAGCATTTATAAATGTATTATACAATCAGAAAAAAATGTGTTCGAAGTTTTTTTTAGGTGTGCTTGTTCCTCAAAAAAATCGAAATGTTGGCCGGTTTCCGCAACTTCACTATTGCCCAAATTTTCAAAATTAAAATCGAAAAATCGAAATATGTCTAATGTCTCGTCACCGTGGGACACCCTCTAGATATAGTGTATTGAGAGAGAACAATTTTATTTCAAAACTGTATCGTGTATAAAAATCAACATATTCTAGATTGTTATGTTAACTTTGTAAATGACAGTGAATAGTTATTTTGCCGTTATCTTTTACTTTAAGGTGGAAAAAAGGTGAAAAAAGAGAAATTTTTTGACAAGGAAGACTTGCCTTTAAAAGGTTGCATTTGCGAAGTGACTTTTCTTAAATTATTAATAAGTTTCAATTCGTATCACTGTATGTTCACAGAGTTTGTGCTATTAATTTTGATCAACTTCAAATTTGGAAGTATTCTCAATACAGAAACTCTAGGTGTAGCCATGAACATATTCATAAATGTTAAAGGAAATGCAATAAAGTAAAACACATATGTATGTCAAGGCCTATGGGCATTGCATATTTAATATCATAAGAAATAGACACAAAGCAAAAATGTTCAAAGGTATGTCAACTATTCCTTTCGTCAGAACGATCATTTATCCCACTGGTCATGAATTATGTTTGTGTGAAGGTGCAAACTGCATACAGCATGACGCAATGTTGATGCAATATGTTTGGTATGAAAATTTATAATATAAATGCAAATTTGTATATGCTTAAACCAAAGACGATGTACTGTGCCACAAGGTATACAATCTACAATATTTATAGGAGACCAACGACTAAACGAAATGGTTGTAATCAGTTCTAGTAGTATTCCAAGTCCCGAGTAGTTTCAAATTTTCGCTCAACTTTCCGATCGGAACCATAAATTTGTCTCGAACCACTCTACGTAGGACCAATCGAGACTAAAGTACAGACCCATGTCCGAGGGGATCAAACTACCCTCCACGAAAACCAGAAGGCACGGCGCGGAAAAAACATTCCCGGCTATATGTTTCGAAAACTTCCACTGCAGTTCTTTCCGAAGCTCCCAGCCGTTCGCAAACATCAAAGCCGCAGCAGAGGATACCGCTGGAGGTCAATGTTGTCGGTAGAGTATAGTCGTCGACGAAGCGCCGCGTAATACAAAATTCGCCTCAGTTTCTGATTAGGGAGAATAAAAGCTTCTCTTCGAAAGGTACAAAATGCGTAATGTGGAACCGCAATACAAAATTACAATACAGGATCTCTAAAAACCATCCAGAAATGGAATCAATCAACCTTGCAATCAGTAACGAGGAAGGAACCTGACGCTCTAAATTTATTGCCATTTGTATTGTATAAAATCTCTGCGCATGATAAATTAAACATTTTTTTACAGTAAATAATATTTTTATCAATAAATCACAAATTTTTGCAATTCGAAAGGTTGTTAAAAATTCTCAGAAATTTTACGAGCTTGCTCCAGACCTAGACTTCAGTCTAGCACTCCATCCACCCAGGCATTGTCCAACCCTGCTGTGACGATTCCAAAGGATATAGCAAGCTCCTAGAAGATTCCCAAATTCATAGGTACCCATAGAAGGCCAGCACAAGCTCCAAGAAGCTTTCAAAGTTGTAGGGACTCACAGGAGACCACAAAACAGGCAAGCCAAAGCCTGAAAGAAAGTGATATGAACACAACGCAGTAACCATACTGGAAGTGTACAAGTGTGGAAAAAGGCAAAAAATTATATCGTTGCGTTGCTCACA